CGAATCCTGGTTCGCCCCGATTATGTTTCTAGGTTTGTCAGCACCATACCCGTGCTCGTGGGTTTCACCGAAGTGGTAAACGTCTCAGACCTGCATCACTTCAGGCTTTCCTCCCACATTAAGCTGACACGCCGCGATATGACTGGAATACTGTTAAAAGCGGCGTTAAACCCAAATCACTCACTCTTAGTATTTGTTCTACCTTCTTGTACAATGTTGATAATTGAGTATTATTGAGGGCTGTTAAGATCCACATGTTGTGGATTTCACCTAAATTGGAAAATGTCTCAGACCTGCATCCATTTGAGCTTTTCCCCATCACTAATCTGACATGCTGGGATAATGTCAAAATACTGTGTTCAGCAGCATAAACATAAATTACAAATGACCCATGGATTTATTCAAATTTGAAGTGGAAAACTGAGTTGTTTTGTGAATCAATTAACTGCTGTGAATCATTGATGTCCCCAGACTATTGGCTTTTCAACTAGAATGTTGCTTTTTTGTTTCTCGTCAATCTTCCAAACAGACTCGTTGCCACAATGACTGCAAGCTTGAAGTGTTTGTATTTACACATGCTACATTTGATGCCAAGTAAAACTCAATATTATGTCTCACAAAGACAGACAGGTGAAATCTACTTAAAAAAACCATTGGCTGCAAATCTGAACTGGCATTGAACTTTTTATATGGAACAAAATGCAATGTTAGCTCACCTGGCTTTGTTCAAAAGTCAGTCTGCTACTTTAGCCACTTGTCCAAGGCAGAGGCTAGTTTAATCATGTGTTTTATTTTCGAGTAAGTTCAACTCAAAGTAGCCAAGATATGAACATTCAAAGCTCTCAAACATGTAGACTGAGAAATATGTGATATTTATTCATGCAATTGGCATGATCTGTGTGTAGGAAAAGACAAAGGAATTCTTGGTGAGCTACAGGACTTTATTGCGGAATCTCCAGTGACTCTTCAATATTTGGGGGCAGTTGGGTAGCCTAGTGGTTAAAGCGTTCGCTCGTCACACTGAAGACCCGGGTTCGATTCCCGACATGGGTACAATGTGTGAAGCCCAATTCTTGTGGTCCCCCGCCATGATATTGCTGGAATATTGCTAAAAGCACCGTAATACCACACTCACTCGCCCACTCTTCAATATTTGAATCAGTTTGAGAACATGGGTGGTTATGATGAGTAAAGGCACTAAATTTGTTGAACTGTGTTGTGATCCCAATTTGATTCACAATTTACAAATGTCATGCAATTCCCTATTTTGACTTGTTCCATTTTTATATGTGTTTCTTTAGGTGAACACTAGATTTTCACGTGTGTTTGTGATGGTGACACCGGTAGGTCAGGATAAGCTCACCTTTTCGCGAACACAATGGTCCACTTGCACAGACCAATCTTAGTTACAATTGATCTTAGGTGCCTACAACCAACGTTACAAGCACCATACAATTGTCCTTTTCCACTTGCATAAACCGATCTTAGCGCCATTGTAAGATGGCTTGGACTTAGAGCAAAATCTTCAACGGTGGAGGTACGAATGTCTTAATCTCAACTCCTGTTTACAGTTGTCTGCAAACGCGCATAGCTTGCTACAATTAGTGGAACCAGTTACGACACACAGCACATACCTCCCTCCATCGCACCTTACAGTTTTAAAAAAGGTCCCAATTATTTGAAGGAAACAATTACAAGAATGATTGCATATATTTTAGGTGATTTAGGAATTGTGGGTTTAATATTGCAACTAGAGAAATACCTACTCATGTTTTATCAAAAGTATATTAATACATTCATAAATGTGGTTCTAGATTTAGTGACATAATTATTATGATAAACCAAAGTAATATGTCCTAATAACATAACACTTAAAATGTTTGATCTTCGTCTATTTGGGGTAGCATTTAGTAAAATCCTAAGTATATCCTTCATGTTTTCTTTTTGCTGGTGCTATAACAAAAGATATTATGACTAACTTTTCAAAACACAGAAAGATGGGGGATTTCAAGAATGCACAGATGGGAAATAAGAATAATATATAATATTTTGAGAAAGCAGTTGTTTAATATATATATTTGCCTATTTTATAAAAACTGGTAAATGTTTTAACCATTTGTCACTCTTCCCACTCAATTTTAGATTTAAATATGTGTGATTTTGCACTTCAAAATGGACAGTTTTTGCTATTGACTCGATAGTTATGTGGTTCACTATCGCAATTAACAATATTTCTGACATTAATCTGTGGTGCATTCTCTGTGTTGTTGAAGTGTCGATTCAAATCACACATTTTAACCAAAAAAACTATAGGCAATGTTTGAATGTAAAGCAGATTATTTATGTGAAACAAACCCTATCTTGCTCACCATTTTTCAAGTTTATTCAGGAACTACACAACCTTTGGTTACTTACGATTCGTCCGGACTAATTGTAAGTTTCGGTTGTAGCTTACAGTGATCTTAGCCTGCAATCGCTTTGTGCAAGAGGATGGCAATTGTAGCTGAAGCCTAAGATCGCGATCTTAAAGATTTACAATAACTGTGGCTCTGAGATTGTTCTGTGCAAGTGGACCCTGGTATTGTTCCTATTTGATAGTGATTCATGGACACATACTTTAAAGTCCGGAATCGTACATTGGAATATTTAAGTAGAGATTTCTCATGACTATGGAAATGTTTTTTATCGCTTTATTTTATGTTGTGCTCAGCTGATCTGCAACCTTGGTTTCTGTTGGTTTTCCTTTAGGATGACACGCTTTGATATAATTGAAATACAGGTCAAAGCAATGTGTAACTCACTTACTCTCTCTCCAACCAGTTGAGCTCTCTCCCTTTCAGATGTGTATTTAATCACATGCACCAATGTTTCCTGAAGGAAACATGTAAGTCAGTGGCTTGTTAATTGCTTCTTCAATGCAGAAATCGATCATCACAGAGTGAGAGTCATTACCGTTGACACCCAACATGAAACTTACAAATAAACAAACCTTTCTTTCAGCAAGTACCAAAAACATCTGTGATTTAAAGTCATTATGCAAAACACGTTGAGATGCTTCAAAGGCAGGAATGTTCTGATGGAGAAACTTTATATGCCACAAATATGTGAACTCCACCTGATGGACTTTTAGTGCCAAAATTTCATTGGGTTAAAAAAAAGGATTGGTATAAAGCGTGCTAGAAATGGTGGAGAAGGTAGAAGCATTGTTAAAGTCACTGCGCTAAGATGATCGTAGCTCCATACGTTAACATAGAATTGCAATGATCGTAGGGTTAAGATCGGTTTGGGGAATGAGCGCAAGGAAAACCTGCTGTACTTAAAGGGTGGGGATTGATGGGAAGGGTTGGGGTCGAGGTGAAGGGGGAGTAGGGCTGGGACGGGTAACTTGGGTACCCAGGTCGGGTGGGTACTGAGTAGGACCCGGGTACCCACAGGACTACCCGGACCCGTGGTTAGTCACGTGATATATTGTTTAATGACAAAATTTAACTCTATGGTTACACTACAAGTCACTAATTTCTTTTTGACTATGCACCCATTCATTCTGATTTTTCATATGGTTGAATAAAGATATAACCTTATTCAACTTCAGTGTATGTGTGACCAGATTGTTTAAAACGTGTATCTAAATACAGTTTTCCAGGGCTATGCTAAAAATGTTCCCAATCGGACATTTTGAAACATCTCCTAAGATCTAGAGTGGGTACCCGGGTAGGATCGGGTAATAGGGGGGTGGGTACCCGAGTAGTAAATTTGGACTCGTCCCAGCCCTAAGGGGGAGCTTGAAATATGTTGACATTTTGATCACATTGTTGTAGTAACATGGGGCTTTTATGTTGGTAATGATAGCAGAGAGTGATTGGTAGGTGGTAAGGGTTGGGTCAGGGTGATATGGGAGGAGTTTACTGTCTCTGAAGTATCTTGACATATTGATCACATTGTTGTAGTAACATGGGGCTTTTATGTTGGTAATGATAGCAGAGAGTGGTTGGTGGGTGGGGATGGTTGCAATACCAGTTACCATATTAATGATTGAACAGATTGTGCTTGAATAAGTTGCAAGCATAGTTACTCTGAATTCATTAGACTGAGACACCAGATATCGTAGTTGCATGAATGAATGTACATTGGTTGGGTTCTGTGACTAGTAACCACGAGTCGGCAGATTCTTTGGCTTGGGATACCCTTTGGTTCATATAAAGAAACAGATTGTGCGTTTCATTCATCAGATATGCTAGTTATGGATGATGATGTTCGGTTGGTTAATGTTACACCAGTTCCCATACTTACACAAATGAACAATGGAACAAGGAAGCCTTGTGATTAAAGCATTGACTACAATGCTGAAGACCCAGGTTCGATTCTCTACATTGGTATAATGTGTCAAGTCAATTTCTGGCTCACCCAACCCCACCTAAATATGTGATTAAATAGTTTCAACTGCAAGATGGACGAGACTATCTTAACTCACACTAGAGTGAGTGAGTGAGTGCGTATGGTTTTGCACCGTTTTTAGCAATATCCCAGCAATATCACTGGGGTGGGGTGGGGAAATTGGTTTCACACATTGTTTCCATGTGGGGATCGAACCTGGGTCTTTGGTGTGACGAGTGAATGCTTTAACCACCAGGCTACCTGACATCCAACTCACACTAGATACATGGCAACATATCACTATCACTAATATAGAACAAGGAAAGTTGATATTTATTCAGTTGCCCCCTCCCCACCAAACAAGCACCAAACAAGCATGTGTGTAAACAAAGAAATAGTAAAGGCCTTGCCAAATAAAGAGTCAAAGGCCCTAATTTACTGTGTGGAGACGTTTTGTGTGGAAATGAAAATAAAGAATGATAAAATGGCTTTTGCATCCTGACTTTGTACATGTGTTCTGGCTTGGCAACAGGAAGCAATATATTTCGTATCAGTCCAACAAGTATTATGTGATGTTATACACCATGTGCTATCTTCTGTTCAAGACATATTTCTTTTTGTTTCAGGGTTTTACCAAGATATACCAACAGTTCTTTCCATGTGGGGATCCCAGCAAGTTTGCATCCTTTGTGTTTAATGTTTTTGATGAAAACAAGGTAAGTGGGAGTTAAGTATTTATGTCATCTGATGGTAACGTTTGGATTGACTGACCTTGACTGTCATGCATGCAATGTCTTAACCCTGTAGAAATAAGCAACCACTTTCTTGTTTCTGTGATTAAAGATTTGAAAGACTGGAGCAATAAGCTCATTAATTTTTTTGAAAAATGCTGAAATTAAATTTTAGTTTAGCACACCGTTTTTCAATAGATACAATTAGATATAAATTCAAGTAACTATTAATTTTTTAAAATGATAAATGATGATTGTATCAATTTGTATGTAGTTTCTGACGTCTTAAAACCTCGTATGAAAAAACGCTTCTTAGAAGTAAATACATACATGTTAATGTACATGTTCTCAAAATCCTACAGTACAAGTATTTTGAAGATGCTTCGGTGAATGATCAAAGGCGCCTACTGTACTCTATCCTGTGATAAAGTACACTTTTTGAGTTACGTTATAACAGGCCGACGCCATGACGCTCTTCAAATTACCTCCCTGTGATATAACGTATCCTGGTAACATATGCATACTTGTGTTATAACTGTAATAGTTCTGAGCAAAACTATGCTATACTTTATTACACTACACATTGGGGTAGAGCAAACTTTTTTTCTTAAATATATTCCAACCAAACAGCTGCCAAAAAAACAACTAACAACCAAGCCAAACATAAAATTAAAGTATTGAGCTATACCAATTTATTTTCATTTCTATTTCAAGCCACCCAGGATAATTGATTAGCAAGAAACTCTAATCCTTTGTAAAAATGTGAAGCCCAAGATTAATGCACATGTTTGGTTTCGGCATAACTAAAGATCCGCAAGAGCTTTTGTCTGTCAGAAAGTTTGAAGTGTTTTCTGAAACCGTGGAATCTGTGCTTGATTGCAGCAGCCTGTAAACTATCAAGTCGGGGTCGGGCAGACCAGTGGTTGATAGCCTGAGCAACGGTCCATGGCTTCAACATCTCATGACACACAATCTGCCAGGTCACACATTGATAGTTGGTCAAAGCAAACCATATTTTAGTCAGCTCTCATAACAAGCGTGCTGTGATGGATGAGGATGTATTCTGACCTCCTGAGCTCAACAGATTTATGCTATATAAGGGCCATAATACATGTATCAGATATCTGGTTCAATGTATATAGTCATATTTTTTTCAATATACATGTTTCCATGAGAACATTACAGACTAGTAAAAAAAGTATTGTGTTTCTTGTCACCTCTCTGGCTTTTATATTTTCCGGGTTTTTGACCAATGGTAGGTAACTTTACCAACTGTCCCAAAACAACATACCAACTACAAATGACACTCAATTCGATGCCTCTTGTCATTTTGTTTAGACGTGCAGGTCTTGTGTGTGTGTCTCAAGATTGTGAGGCCTCATGGGCTTGCTGAGTGCAGTTCAGACATCATTCTTCTGACAGTTGGCTGCAAAAAGATTATAGGAATTTAAGTAAAAACAACAAAAACCTGTATCGTTGTTCCATTTTAGACCAAACCAAAAGACCAGAAACATTATACTTTTTGGGGGCCTTTTCTTGGGTTTTTCAAATACAATGTATTTTTATATATACTGTGTAAAAAGAGAAATGCAAGAGCAGTTAAATTGGAAATATCTGACTGAATGTTGCTGACATCCATGCAAAATTTATACCCAAAATGAATTGGTCTCTTTCTGCATGGATTAGGATTGATTTGTGTGGAAAAAATAAGGTACTGCAGAAATTTGGTAAAAAGATGGAAAAATCGCAACAACACAACCACATGAGAACCTGGCGCTGAAACACTCCAACATGACATGCATGTGCATGACTTGTAGGGCTATTAAAACGTTGAGTTTTCATTTGCATGCCATTACATTCTTACAGCGAAAACATGCCATGACTGACAGAAGCCGAAGGCAACAATGCCATCGGCTGTCTGCAAACAGGAGAATCATCTTCAGGTGTAGCCAGTTTTTTCCACGTAGCGCCAAGCACCATTAAAAACCGTCATCAGAAACATGGGACAACATTTGACCTTCCCAGATCCAATCAACCATGTATCACTAGCAGAGCACAAGACAGATTCATATGGCTACTGTTCCATGTTTGTCATATGGAACCTGGGCCAGTGACAATGATGTGTGCCAATTTTGAACATGTGATTACCATCTGTTGATTATTTATGTGATATACAGTGATCGCTCGCTATTGCGCTCTTCGATAAAGCGCTACCTCGGTTACTACGCGCGGTAACGCATGGCTCCCAAAATTTATGTACACTTTTATTACTGAGAGTTTTACACAGACATAATTGTATTGTTGTTCGTTGTTCATTTGCACATAACGCTTCTCATTGCATAATCAACCGTTTATCGCTGAATGGAGTTCTAATAATCTGTTTGAAAACATCCGCGGCAAGTCCCGGAAATACCATTGTTCAACTAGTTAACTTTTCACACTATACATCCTTTGATCTTAGAAGCGCATGCATGCAATAAAAGAGAACCACAAGCGAAGTTTATATTCTTAATTAGTGGGCAATCCAATTTAAGGCTAATCTGTCACACACATGTAGTTTCTAATGACGCTTTCTCGCCGAAATCTGCTACAAGTTTCGTGATTTGTCAATTTTGAGCACGTGACCTCAGGCAGCCAATCAAATTATAGCTGTGATACCAAGCTCGTGTTTGATAAATTTCAGAAGTTAGCGAAAGTTTTTTTTGTTAAATCGTGTTATTCTGAACGTTTTAAGCAGGAAATCACGATATATATTAAAAATATGGAACTTCGCGAATGTATCGTGCTAGGTTACGAGCTGTGACAAAGATTTTTCATGCATATATTTTTGCATTAAACGTTGTGTCCGAGCCGAGAATTCAAGGCGACGAAAGCCGAGATGTCATTTGACTTACATTACACGCGATCGCGCGAAACGATGGAAATAATAACTTAGATGTAAGTTTGATTACTTTCAGATATATTTTTGTTAATTTTATCTATCACTTTGTATAATATATTTAAAGATTTGCTTAAAATAGTCTTTATTTTGCTCTTTGACATGTTCGATGCGGACCCGTTGTCGAAATGTGTGTCCGAGAATTTTATTTTCAATAACATCGCGGGAAATAGTGAATAATTTTTTAATTTATTGATAAAAAATGATAAATTAGAATGGAATACGTATTTCAGACATTGTGAAATGTGACAGGTTTAATAAATGAATGATATTACAGGTAGATCTAGGTCCATAAAAATATATACTATTTTGACGTGACGTGTGATAAACACATATTGATGATTTGAGATTTGCCGAGCGCGCTCCCCCGCCTCGGCCTCGGTTAAACGGCTCGTCGTCTATAACGCCCATCAATTATTTGGACCCCATTGGTAGCGTTGTAGCGAGGGACCACTGTATAAAATAAACATCTAAAACCACTTTTGCGTTTCTTTTTTTTGCAGAGTATAGACATACCTCTGCATTGGTCATGCTGTGTGCTCTGTATGTTTTTGTCAGTTTTTTTCTTCAACTTTGCTTTTATTTGATTCAATTGCAATAATCAGTTTATCCTGGCACCACCAGTACAATTAAGCCAATGAAGTGAGTGAAATTTCCCAAGGCTGGCTAAAAGCGAAACATTTATCCAGTGAGGTGAAGCCATTATTGTGTAAGCTGTACTCTTGGGGAAGTCCTTGAAAGTATATTTCCTAATGATACAGACAACTTGTTGTGTTTTTATTCCAAGAAAATCCCCAAGCAAATTGCCAACTGTGGCTAATTTGATTATTAGTTTGGAATGGCTGCAGTTGATACTATATTCCTGCAGACTGATAAGATAGCTAGGGGGCAGGCAGCAGAGGGAGGTGCTCAATGCCTGACTTGCAACTTTCAATCGTTCACAGGCAGTCCCAGGGGTATTGCATATGTTATTGAAGAACTGGGGGACACATGATATATTGCTGGAGCTATGATATGCCAATAAAGTTAACAGTTAATCAGCTTTATCAATGTATACTTTAATACTGGTATGTGTTGCATTCTTTGTGATTGTCTCTCACTTGTAATTGCCCCTATGTCAGTAGTTGTGAGGTTACCTGTTAATGAACCTTAGGTAGGGTTATCTGATGCAGAAGCCTGTGTTTTTGATGCAGGAAGGGCAGACCAAATGGATTTTTTTTACAGAATTTCTTGGTCAGTTTGAAGAGAAGGAGCGAAAAAAGAAGAAGAACATTATCCTTATTCGTTTAAGTTATTAATTACCGTATTCGATGTAATAAGCGCCCCACTCTAATAAGCACCCACGGCGTATTTGCTAATATATTGGCAAGTGAACAATCCCAATTAGCATCCTTTCGATTGATCAATGTACACAAGACTTATTTATTCGTGTATGATACGCACTCGTGTGTTATATGCACCCTTAATTATGGGCAATTAAATTCTGGAAAAATATATCTGTCGTATATAAACAGTTCAGACCGTCAGCATAAACCACGAAATGTATCTTTCAACTCTGTTTTTTACCACCAAAATAATGTTCTAATAATTTCTAATTTTGAGAGCGCCCTGGGTGCTTATTACGTCGAATACAGTAACAACTCTTGAAGATACCATTTGAACTGAAAATAGGAAAACTGGTGAATAAAAAATACAAATGTATGAAAAGTTTGCATAAAGCATTTATTTGTTTTTTCGTTTTTGCTTTTCTGTAAAGATAGTAAACTGACGTGGCCAAATGGACTAAAGATTCAAACCCTCTGTGTTCTATGACTCAAGACATTTTGCACAATCAGCATAATTAGGAGTTTATGATTTGTTTGTGTTTTTCAGTTTATTGGATCGTAGCTTTGTGTTAGCACTGCTCATGTAATATTTATCAAGTGAAACATTTGTTATTACCATGGCTCCCAAAATTAATGTTTTACTCACGATATATTTCTATGACCATGAGTTTAAAGACAAGCTTGGTGAAACCCTTGAACAAAACCCTACACAAACACAGGGCTTAGCATTGCTACATGTGGGTTGATGTTAGGCAAAGTTAATTTAGTCTTCGACCTACGATTACCATGAGGTCACTTTGCAAGCATGAGTTGATAGAAGTAGTTGTAAGGTTACATATATTTTCCTGAGGCCGACCTGTAGAGACGCAGCATGTCATCTTAGCTGCATGGTGTGTTGATGCTGATAACTACATGAATGTCAGAATCTGCCCACACCCCCCAGTCACACTTAAAGGTCACTTTTCTGACTTCATAACGGATGTTTGCATGTAGACTTGGACAAGTTTGTTTGGCAAACACTATTTCTGTTAGCTTTTTTTTTTTATAGGAGATAACCCTTCCTACTAGATTTGCACAGTAAACATTTCTGGGATCTCCAAGAAATGGTGGTGAAGTGGCTGTGTCTGGTTTTTTTCAATCACTTGCAAACTTTTTTTCGGGTTGGAAAAAAAAGGAGCAACAAAATATCAAGATTTTCTTTCAAGAATTATTTTTTTCATGGCAGTAACCCTTCATACTAGATTTGCACGGTATCCTAATGAAACGAATTGAAGCGCCATAAGATCTCCCCCATGTCTCACCCGTACCGCCGTCAATCTCCTGAGTGGAAGCGTGAAGGGAGGTGCTGTGAGTGGGCCAGATAAGGGGGCTGACGGGTGCAGGAGTGTTAGGAAGTGCAGGATGTAATACACAGCCTGGAATTAAGCAAGAGGAGAATCCTTTCTGCAGATTACTACCAGTACTCCAGGCATTCTATCAAACTATATGCAATGACAGGGCTGCAAATGAGGTGTCTTCCCAATGTGCCTACAGTCCCATTCTGCTTATATTACAGTAAAATCATCAAATGATATGGTCTGATGCTCAAAAAGTGATATTTGTTCAAGAGTTTCGAATCCGATTTATTTTTGACATTTGCACTTTCACTCAAGACTGGTATGATATGAGTGGAGTGATATCCATGCATGAAGTATGCTTTCTTAGGTCCTTGGGGAATTCATGAGGCACATGTCATGAGAAGGTCAAAGGCCAAGGTCACAAGATAAAAAAAAAACCAAACCAAAAAATACTCACCGAAACGTTTGTTGTTACGGTACACTTCTGAATAGGTATTAGTTTGTTTTGTTTTTATCATTTTCTTGGTGTTGTTGTACCTCCTCTATACTAAGAAATGGGTTTGGGGCCAGGGATTAGTCAAATGTCAAGGTCAGCACTTGTGGTTGTATCATTGTCAGTGTCTGAGGATCCGGAGCAGAATAGGTGTTCAGCAACCCATGCTTGCCGTAAAAGGCAGCTATGCTTGTAGCAAAAGGCGACTAACGGGATCGGGTGATCAGGCTTGCCGACTTGGTTGATGCATGTCATGGATCCCAATTGCGCCGATTGATGCTCATGATATTAATCACTGGATTGTCTGGTCCAGACTCTATTATACTTTCAAACGCCTCTAGTTAATGAGTTATTTAGATTTTTTTCCCATTTGGTATCTTAATTTTAAAATAAAGAACAATAGAATCCCAGAGAGTTTAGTAGAGCTTTTAGAACAACTCTAGATATGATGTATGCGCAGTCAACATGAACTTGCTTATAGTGAGTGAGTGAGTATGGTTTTAAGCGATCATTTATGTTTTAAGTGATCATTCCAAGAATATCACGGCAGGGGACACCAGAATGTTCTTCACACATAGTACCCATGTGGGAATGGAACCCATGCCTTTGGCATGACAAGTGAATGCATTTGCCACTAGACTGCCCCTCAAACTGCTTGTAAAACAGTGTTATACAACATTATGAATCTTATTACAGGATGGTTACATAGAGTTCCACGAGTTCCTGCAGGCGCTGTCTGTAACGTCCAGAGGCAATGTAGAGGAGAAACTGAAATGTAAGTATTGGCAGATTCAATTTAGCTCAGCGGCCTCCATAAATATTAAATTTAATGCCACACTTTCTTTTGTCGGCATCCCTGCTCCCTGTCCTCCCTGGTCTGCCCCTGGATCCAAAACACCTGGCGTCATAATTTGTGATGCATTCATAAAATGTTTGCCGCTATTTTGCCATTTATCTGTTTTGGTGGATAATTGAGACTGGTTATTCTCTGGCTTTGGCGTTTTATGATTACATAAATCTGTTGACCATCTTCTGATTCTTCTAAATTATTGTCATTATTAGTGATCCATTCATATAATGTTTGCTGCTATTTTGCCATTTATCTGTTTTGGTGGATAATTGAGACTGGTTATTGTCTGGCGTTGACATTTTTACAGACATCTGTTGACCATCTTCTCACTCTTCTTCCATCATCTTCTGTGAAGCTACAGTACCTATGAGGCTGAAATATTGCAAAATGAATCAGGTTTTGGATGTGTACCTTTTTGTTGAAACCCATAAGCACAGTATAGTGTAGTCTGTGCCACAGTCCCTGAACCATATTATTTTCCCTTCTGCACAGCCCTTAATGTAACGATACAGCCCTAAATAAAGCAAGTTTAGATTTACCTCAGGTTCTGAATCTCACTCTCACTCAGGCTCCTTTCAATTTAAAGGGCGTTGTTTGTTTCTATAAAAATTATTTACTTTCAGAGACTAAATGTTAGTTTTAGTGTAGTGCTGACAAACCTAAAATCATCATCTGGGCAAATCTTGGATTCCAACCCCAAATCTTCACATCCTGGCACACCTAAGGGACAGAAGTCTGATGTGTCATCTGAGATGACTGGGCCACCCATCTTATCAACAATGGTTATGACATCACAGCATGTTATTGTTGACCACTTTTAGCTTCTAAAAATAGTTGAAAGAGTAAATGAAACTGGTTGAATTTCACTTTGATCAGTGTCTCATATATCATGGCATGTCAGCTTGAGTGAGTGAGTGAGTATAGTTTCCTGCCACCTTTAGCAATATTCCAGCAATATTATGGCAGGGGACACCAGAAATGGGCTTCACACATAGTACCCATGTAATCGGACACAGGTCTTTGGAGTGATGAGCAAACGCTTTAACCTATCGGCTACCTAGCCACCTCCATGTCAGTTTGAAGGTGAGGGAAAGTCTGAAGTGATGCAGACCTTTGACGTTTAGTCTTTGGTGAAACCCACAGGCACAAGTGTGGTGACAACAAATGGAGAATGATGATCAGGCGAATCTGGGATTCAAATGCCAATTCTAGGATCCAGGCACACCTAAGGGACATATATATATATGTGTGTGGTTGATTGGAATATTAGGAATGATATATCAAATTATGATAAATAACAATGAGTGTTAATGTAATGCATGTCATGACTGCATTGCCATGTGACATTTAAAAGCAAAATATACAAATTTGAACAAAGGTACGGTAGATTTACATGATGATGACAATAATTCAATAAACATGATAAATTGTAGATGTGTAGGGCTAACATTATATTGAGTGTGTAGATATTTATTTCTAAGCTCTGAATAAGCTTCTCATTCCTGTGAAAAATGATTGTCATTTTCTGTAATATCATTTCCAAAACGTAGGCAGTTAGCACAAACTAGATTTAGCTGATCTTTATTCTGATGTCTACAACAATTATGATGTCGCACGTTGACCCTGTTCGCTCCTGGCCATTTTTTCCGATAAAGAGGATACTACTTCTGCACTACTTATTCTAAAATGTGGACATAATAAACAGATTATTACATTCATGAATGTATATTGAGTTTACTCGCGTGGGAATTTTTTTTATCTTGATATGTAAATCAGTATGTGTCAACACACAAACACTCATGAAACAACCTACTTGTTTGCTGTATCACACCGTTACAGATTCTCACACGGGAACTAGTTGATAGGCAAGTCCTATCTGATGCTGCCCTTTTTCATCATGACACTATCATCACTAACATATCACTAGCTGTGCTCCGCTAGCATGCCGCTTCACAGCGATCCAATTACTAAGATATATGTACATAAACTCATGGCAAGGGCCTATCATGCAAGCCCACTCCTGTCAATATTCCATAATCATGATGTGGTTTTAGTGCTTTTTCATGTTGCAGGGGAAGAAATGGCCTGATTACTATTGATGAATGTGTCAAGGAGAAAGTTAATGGGGAACTTATGTGATAATATTTTCATGTGATTACAGATTATCGCAGATATTTGAAACCAAGATATCTGACAAAAGAAAAGTTGGTTGTTTGAAACCATATTTGATCAATAATAAGGCGTGTGACGATTTTGTGGGCGTGCCATTTTGTTAAGCTGTTAGTAAGTGATGCCATGTGCTTAATAGGGTGTGATTATTGGTATTTTTACTCCTGGCGTATGCAGCATTTTACCTTCATGACAACCTTTCATGGAAAGGAAGAAATAACATGATTAAAAATCGAACACCAGCCAACATGACAAATGTTTAGCTCACCTGGATAAAGCCTCAGTTAACATTTAAATGTCGATTTAAATTAAATAATAATTTGTTCCAGACAACAATTAAAAAAATTATATGTCTTATACAGATCCATCTTTAGTAGTGTTTCCCTCCTTAGGGTAGTATTATTAGATTCGTCAATATATTTGGAGGGACAGCAACTAAAAATAAGTCCTTCAGGTCTGACAATATAACACCGCTTTATATATGAAGTAGTCCCTAAGTGATGCAGGTCTTCCCTCTTTAGTGAAAGGGTTTGGAGCTGACAAGCCTTGAAAAATCTTGAATCCAAACTCACAATCATCTAGGTTTCAATCTAAGGGACACAACTCTGCACAGGGAATTGCAGCAGTGTAGACAACTGGACAACCTGGTCCTGGTTGGAATCTTGAAGCTTTAGACCAAGGTGGTTATCCCCCGCCCAACAAAGTTGGCGGGGGATTTAGAAACGGGCTCCGTCCGTCACATTTCGTTTCCGGAGCACAACTCATACACCGTTCAATATTTTTTCATCAAACTTTGCAGGTCTGTCAGGTACATGCTGAACTGGTGCCTTTTGCTATTAAGAAATTTTAACTTTTTTTATTTGTTTCCATGGCAACAAGATGGACTTAGGTTCTGCGAGGGTAGGGTTCGTTTCCGGAGCATAACTCATAAACCGTTCAATACTTTTTCATCAAACTTTGCAGGTTTGTAAGGTACATGCTGAACTGGTGCCTTTTGCTATTTAGAAATGTTTATTTTTTTCACGTTTCCATGGCAGCAAGATGGACTTAGGTTCCAAACTCTTCTTTTTTTTACAATTTCCATGACAAGTTCCTCCTCGGTTAAAAAAGGTTAGGGTTTGTTTAGATTTAATCATGTCATAAATTCTGCAATAGGGGCGGGAGATATAGCCACGTTAGTGGGAAACTCTTGTTCACCTTGGAATGACTCTCAACATTATTGCATATATATGTATATGTATATGTATGTGTGTGACATGTTATGTAATCTTGGTCCTGCTGGTTGATAAAGTCTGTATTACCTCTTAGGCATATTTTGATTATTTTGATGCCGGCTTTGACCTTTTGCCTTTACATTGCCTGATTTATAAATGGTTTTTCTGCCTTTTATATTCTTATCTGCAACTACTGTACATATATTGCTCAAAAGAAGTTAAAGAACATGCAACTTTGTCAAAATGACTAAAGTCTCTTATAGCATGACATATTAAATATAGTCATATGAAAAATATCTGGAGTTCATTAACTTGTTTTGTGTGGTATACATGAAATTGAAATTTAGTGTATATGATCCCAGCGATAGCATCTCTCAAAAGTGTTCGAATCCAATTGTATTTCGACATGTCTGTCTTCCACTAGGGGCCTTTCGGTTGTATGACCTCGACGCAGATGGCTTCATCACCCGGACGGAGCTGCTTGACATCGTAGATGCTATCTACAAGATGGTGGTAAGACTACCTCCATGAACATGGAGACATGTTGAAGCATTACCTAAAATCGATAATTAGAAGAAAAAAATATCTTAATTATGTAAGAATTGTTTTGATATTAAGACTATTTTCAAAATATTTGGCATTGACTGAAATGTTTAATTGAAACACTATCTTGGGCTTCGTTGTTTTCTTGAATACATGTATTTAAAAGAAATTACTGACAAAAGTACTGATTTGTCAATTTCAACATATTGTTTAAATGACCAGAACAGTGAGACTTGTCTTTCCACCTACCAATGAAATGAATTGAAAATGAATTGGGTGGTCAGGATCAGTGATTTGGTTGATCTGTTGAAAGACTAGAGTGTCATCGTTACCAATGTGGATTGAAATCTGGGCGGGGGAGAGGGGAATTGAAATATATTTAGTTTTCGTTAATTTTTCAAAATAGAATGGGGCTTTGAGAATTGTTTGAGAATTATTCCAGCTAGGTGACGGCATTCTGTAAATAATCGAGTCTGGACAGTGGTTGACATAATGAACATTGATCTACCCATGCTACGACAAGCATGGGTTGCTAGAGACCAATACTAATCCGGATCGTCATGGCAGTATCATGAGAGTGAGTGAGTTTAACACTGCACTGATCAGCATGTCAGTTATGTCACTGCATGCCAGCTTTGTGTGGGAGGAAATCCTGAAGTGAGGCAGATCTAAGACGTTTACCCACAAGGATGGGTATGGTGCTAACAGACCTAGAAAACTAACCAGGGAGAATCTGGGATTTGAACACAGAACTTACCCCAATAGAATGGAGCTAGCCTACAATGGCTAATGGCTGATATTGTGTTGTGATGGTATTTACAGGGGGGAATGGTCAAGCTTCCAGAAGAAGAGAATACACCAGAGAAGAGAGTCAACCGGATATTCGAGGTCATGGATAAGGTGATGGGATACTTTTGCTACATCATTTAAGTAGATTTCTATGAAAACTTTAAATCTGTCCAAATGTTTATGAATGGAAAAAGAGTGGTCTCACACATTGCATAATTTGTTTTGTTTTGTCATAATTTTTCACAAGGTTGAATATTGGTTGTATGATCATCTTGCCTAATTACTACTCAACGCTTGAAAAGGATACTCAGTTATGTCATATATCATCTTCCCAAGGCAAGAGAGTTAACTGACTTTAAAAGTCCAGTTTCCACCCTTGCCGAACTAGGCTGGAATAACTGGGCTCGATCGTAGCGCCACCAGTGGCTATTACGAGTTATGTCCTTTCTATGCCTCTCCTATTGACCAATCAGATTTAACCTCTCATATCACTTTAATTTGCTTCAAACAAAACGGTGGCGCCCAGTCAAGACGATCTAATTGATAATCAAGATCTATTTTGTGATAAAACGAGTCTTACATCGCGAAGTGCATCAAATCACGTGAGCACCTTGATTAAAAGCATCAAAAGATTTAGAAAATATCTGTTGACAACGAGTTAGCGGTGCAATTGCTTTGCAAATCCTGCAGTCGACCGAAATCTGCACGTCACTTTACGAACCTGATTTTGATTTCAGTGCGCGATTATGATTGGACTATGCATAGACTCGTTAGACCAGCCAAAATGTAACTCCATAATACCAGCCTAGTTCGGCAAGGGTGGAAACTGGACTTTTATAGTCAGTTAACTCACTTGCCTCAGGAAGATGGTCATATATATTTTAGACGTACACTTGACATATACTGAACAAAACAAGGTAGGGATCGTGAATATTTTTGGGGATATTTTTATGAAATTATGAGTGAGTGATTGAGTTGGATTTTACACTGCTTTTTGCAATATTCCAGCAATAAGTGGGGGACACCAGAAATGGTATGAAATTGTGTGCTCAGTCTTCACTACAAAGAAATCTCCCCCCAAATATTCATGATCCATAACTGGTTTTGTTTTTTGTATGTTATGAAAATCAGTTTTGTGTATCATAGAAAGATATCCCTGTTAAAGTCGCACAAGGTGCAATATTGATTTAACATGAAGTTGCACAATGTGCACTGTTCGTTTTATTCAGTAGGGGCAGTGGGGTAGCCTGGTGGTTAAGGCGTTTGCTCGTCATGGTGTAGACCCGGTTCGAATCCCCACATGGGTGCAATGTCTTAAACCATTTCTTGTGTCCCCTTTCCGTGATATTGCTGGAATATTGCTAAAAGCGGCATAAAATACAACTCAACCCTCATATTCAGTCAAGCATCTTGCATGTTCAGACTGAATGATCCAAGATATTATGATGCAATTTAATAGACATTATCATAAGGACATGATACTTTTATGGATGGCAACTTCTTTATTGCTTGTAACGACATGTATGGTCTACGGCTTGCCCCTTCATCAGGGGTAAGCATTTTGAGTTTATATATATATGCATGCTGATACATCTTTACGTACAATAAAGAAGTTGTTATCCAGACAAGTGTCATGTCTGCGTGCTCTTCCAACTTCTAAATGCCTATCAAAGACTTAACATTATCCTATGTTGTATTATTTTTATGGGAAAAGTAATCACAATTGCACTTTTCGGAAATTGAATGAAGTTTGGTTCTCTTTGAAATTTACTTTTATGTCTACCGGTATCAGCTTTTTCTGTTGAAAAAATGTCCTGTTGTATGTTACATTTTGTTAAAACTTAATTTATTTTGTTAAAACTTAATTATGATGAAGTTTGAACTTGTGTTGATTAATTTTCAGAATAGAGACAATCGGTTGACATTTGACGAATTCCTTGAAGGATCCAAAGAAGATCCCACAATAGTGCAGGCACTGACTTTATGTGATGCTGGTCGAGGATGATACAGATGGGGCTCCTGAGGGGGGTGGTGAGGGGGAGGAGGGGTGGGGTACATGCATGGAAGACGAACATCTCAACTCATTCTGTGATGATGGAGTGTTTCAGACAAATATTTCTATGTCAGTTATGTATGAACATTTTTATCAATTTTTGTCATGTCTACATGTTTGTTCATCCAGTTTATAAATGACAGAGATTCATCGACAACAACAGCATAAGCTGATGCATCTTGGAAGTGTGGAGGTTGCTTAAACTGCCTCTTTTATTGTGGAGGTCTGTAGTGTAGTTGTTCATTAGGACACAGCTTTAAAGGTCAAGGTCATGGGAACCACAAGGTCAGGAACTTTTGATGGTCCTTATGAAGAAGCTTGAAGATGCAAACAGCTCTCAGCAACTGAACGAATGTCGAAACAGGGTGTCCTCACAGGCAGAAATGGTTTAAAGCTTGTATTTTCATCAACATTGTGACATCCAATACACAATTGATCATATGTATGGATGTATTGCCACACCACCAAGTTACCCCTTCAGCAAACCATTGATTGTGGTTTCTTGGCTCTTGTTAAAATGTAATTGCTGAAAAGTCACATATCTGTTAAGAATTAACTAAGAAAAAGAATATCTGTTAAGAATTTAACAAAGAAAAAGAAAGCAACTCAAATTTAAATGAACCTGGACTGGAACTGTTGTGTTGGGGCACAGGTGGCCCAAGTGGTCTAAGGTGCATTTTGCTGTGCAGAGTTGCTTCCCTTAGTTGGTCCAGGATTGCTGTCATGAGTTTGTATCCAAGATGTGCTCTGATACTGATCCTGACAGCACACTGCAGGTTCTCAAAGTGGTAAACGTCTACGGTCTGCATCATTGGTCTTTCCGCCCATATCAAGCTGACACACCCTGATATTACTGAAATACTGTTCAAGGCCGTGTCAGACTCTAATCAGCTGGGATGATGCAGTTCTTGTTTTTCTCTCTGCATTATTGCTTGTCCATCGTCACTTCTCTCATCTTCTTGCTCTTACAGTTGGCTGTAACTTGCCCATTGGTCAGGGCTTTAGGTGTCATCTGTTAAATCTGTTTTTTTTTCAGAACTTCCATAATTTTACTCATTGTTCTGCATGGTCGCCTCCTGTCATCCTGTGCTAGTTATAATCAGGCAGAACAGTCATTGTTCGAGTCTTCTATTAATCTATTTAGAAACACTGACAACTTATTTCAATTAAGCATTGATTTTAGTTTTTTGTTACAGTTATGGAGGTATAACCATGAACACCAGTGTGTACAGTGTAAATCCACATCATTACAAAAAATGTTTTGAAATCAATTCTTCTAAATACATCAACAATAATAACTAAAGATTGCTTATTTAATCATTAACACAAACACTACTGAAGACAATAATACAAAATCAGTGACATCGTTCAGCGCAATAATGCAACTCAAGCCCCACTCAGTCTTTTATCAGCCAATCAGGAAACTGCAGTCTGTTGGTGGATATGGCCTGATTTTTTTCGATTTATGGAAACATAAACACCAAAACTGCTTAGTTTGCCAACCAGTTGACATGAATCACTTGCTATTTATTTGTTTGATAATAACTGTGTGAAAATGAATTTCAAGTTCACTTTTTCCCCATCACCACTGTTCATAAAGTGACTAAGGTAATTCCCCAAAAGATCTCTGTGTATTCCAGGGAAAATGAGGGTTAGCTACCAGTAGTTAGATTTGGTCACTTGGCGTATGTATGCTATCATGCTCATGATGTCAGTCACTGGTTTGGCTGCAAGTAGGCTGGGACGAGTCCATATTTACTACTCAGGTACCCACCCCCCTTTTACCCGACCCTACCCAGGTCTCAAGAGATGGGTACAAAATGTCCTGTTGGGAATAGTTTGACTGTAGCCACGGACAAAATGTATTAAGAATCACGATACATGCATACGCTGAAGTTGACTGAAGTTTTATCTTTATTCAAACATATAAAAGTCAGAAGGAAAGGGTACATAGTCAGAAAGAAATGCGAACATTAGTGACTTATAGTGTAACCATCGAGTTCCAGATCATTTTTGTCATTAAACACTATATCACATGACAAACCATGGGTCCGGGTAGTCCTGTGGGTACCCGGGTCCTTCTCTGTACCCTACCTAACCGATCACTTGAGTTACCCGTCCCAGCCCTAGTCTCCAGCAGCTGTGATCTTCCTGGCTACAATATTAAACTGCATTCACTCCCTCCAACTTGTGCATCTGCAGATGCCTCTGTGCCATTTTGAAATGAACAAAGGGACATAACTATGTAAAGTTCTAGTTGATTTCAGCTGCCTAGTGTTGTGGTTGATGATATCAGAATTTCCTTGTATCAAAATAATAAACTGAATTCATGAGGGCATGCAAATGAAATTAGGTTAGAATTGCAATTTGTTTTATTGTCTTTAACATACTGTACCTTTAATATACACTTCTGGTACTCAAAAGATGTTAAAGAGCACCCATTTTTTTCATATGATGATAGATAATCTCAATGTCATATGAAAAAAACCCAAGGTATTCTTTAACTTCTTATGAGAAGTATATACATTTATTGTCTTGGAAACAAAGCAGCACTAGAAGAGAAAAATTATGGAGGTTTTGAATGTTGCTAATGCTAAAGTAGAGAAAGCCGTATGGCAACGTTTTTTGTTTTGAGCAGATTCACTAGATCTTAATACAGTATTGGATTATTGCTGTGCAGCTTTGACAAACAAATACACACAGTTTCAAGGTGGGCTGAGGACTTTAGTCAATGATTATGTGAAATAAGTTGCCAATTTATGAGCAGATGGGACATAGAAGGCTTGAGGATAAATAATCTGCCTGAGACATTACTGGCGGTCTGCTGTGTCAGTTGCTACATGACTGATGGGTGGCGGTGATTGGGTTGACATGTCATTGTATCTCACTTTCGTAGATTGATGCTCATGATGTCAATCACTGGATTGTCTGGTCCAAACTTGACTATCTACAGACCGACGCCTTATAGCTTGAATATTGCTGAGTGCGACGTTAAACAACAAACAAAACAAAACATGACTGATGGTCCTATTTCTGAAAAACATTCTTGCAGTCTATGTCTCTAGTTTGGTCTATGAAGCTCCCAATAATAGCATTGAACTGACCAGGATCATGGCTAAGTAATTTTATGTCCACTACTATTGCACACAAGACAATGTATCTGTATTCAGGGTATTCAGCGTCCAGGGGGAATAAGGAATCTTTTAGAGACTAGCGTGTTCACTTTGTTTTAATAAGGATAAACACTCTAGTGCTCCTTATATAGAAATGATAATTCAGATGAGAAGGAAATCACTTTGTGTTATCTTAGGGCTTTTTACTTTCTGTAGTTTGCATCCGATCAAAACTTGCTGGCAGTTTGAAAACAGCTCTCCATGTACAGTTAGGTGGGTTGATTAATGATTAGATTCTCATCCACATTTTAAAAAAATGTGAGGCAGCGAGTCTAATTTTACATTTTAAGTTATTAAACAAACCATTTGAAGGCAGTTGTGTACAGAAACTGCTTTCTGATGTGGTTCACATCTTGTATTCTCATCAAACGATATTCCCAACACGGAGACATTTTTGGAATGACAGGTTCATTAGAAACAGAATGCCATTGTTACCATATGCAAGTTTTTACAGCCAGGCCGATTGCTGAATGTTGAACATTTTTTTATGATTTCATCAAATATATAATAAGCCAACACTTGAAGTGATTTTCTTCTCTGTGGCACTTTGGGACAATAATATTATGTGAGGGGTTTTTGGTTGTGAGGTGGGAGAGGATGAAAAATAATAAATCATGGCGTAATACGAGTTTATGAAGGAGAGGCAGTGATCAATAATAGTTTGTTTCCGAAACATTGGAGGACGTTTAATACATTGACCACAATATGTTTACTATTTCACCTTACATTTCAGATTTCCGTGTCTTTGTTGGTTGTTAAGTGTCATTGTGTATGTTTACATTTTTCTTCCAACAACAGGAAGCTAGCTCATCATATCAAGTGTATTGTATGGTACTGTAACTATGATTTGCATAGCTGCCAACAACTGTGAAGGTGTAAAATACATGGGTTCGTTCATCACAAATGACCACTGACCTACAGCTGTATTATGTGTGGGATGAAACACTTCCATTCAGGATTCTAAATCTCATAAAACCCTGAGGAGAAGTAGGTAACAAGCTTTTCAACAATGGAGGAGAGAATGCGCTGATTGGTTAAATGGTTTCAGGTCGGCACTATGCATAAGCTGATTCTGTGACGCTTATCTGTAGGGTTAACATGACAATGAATAATATAAAAGAATAACCTATTTGAAATTCAGAATTTCAGATTATTTGTTCCCTGTGAATGAATGCTGTAATGCCTTTACCACATTCATTCTCGCAGGACAGGTGATATGTCATTTCATAGCTCGTTAGTATTCTCAAAGTCTTTCACGATGGAAGTGTCTTTGCACCATTCGTAGATTGGGGTAGGGTCCATTGGTGGCCCAGTCGTCTAAGGCGCCACCATTTGTTGTGTCTTTTGGTCAGTCCAGAAATCTGTGATTGTGGGTTCGAATCCCGGTTCGCCCGAATAATGCTTCTAGGATTATCAGCACCATACCTGTGCGTGTGTGTTTCACGAATGTGGTAAATATTGAAGATCTTATTCACTTGGAGCGTTCCTCCCACTTCAAGCTGACACTCCATGATATAACTGGAATACTGTTAAATGAGGCATTAAAATCCAATTCACTCACATACTTGTAGAATTGGGACACGCTTGGAATGTCTGGTAACTGGGACAATATTTTATTTTACACTTTACACAACTGTTTGTATTAGCAACCATGACTCATTCTTCACTGTGTTGTCGAGTGGTTGGGTGGATTGTGAACTGCAAGTGTTTGATTCTAAGCAACCACATCAGTTTTCATGGTGTTATTTATTTATGAAAAATAGCTTTGGGCAGTTATGCTACTTGTTACCATTGTAAATGACAGGACTTTGGTTTTTCCATCTCACTATGACTCTGATCGGCTATGCATTTGACTGGATGAATTTCTGTGTTGCAAATTATTTGTTATTACTATACGGACATGTCTTCTAGATGACCTTCGCATTGCCACAAATGCTCAATTTGATGAAATTCAATAATCTTTTTCAGAAGTTCTCTTTTATATTGGGTCATTTCTATGATAATATACCTCTTTTAAGAACCTTTTGCTTTAATTATCTAAACTATTTTGTTTTGCTTGTGCATAGATGGTTCAAGGATGTTATTGATATATTTGTTTTTACAAATGGACTTTATACATTTTATTCTGATTTAGGCGATAACTATCACCCAGTGCCAAACCGAATTTAATCAGTTTTGTTTGCAATAATGTGAAAAGTATTTCAATAAATCCCTTTCTCTGTGACACTGTGTTATTTGTGTTTATCATGAAGACCAATTACTATGTTGTTCTTGTTTTTCAGTCAAGAGGTGAGGTGATATGGGGTTTAACATCAGACCAAGATTATTGCACTTATATAGCGACGTGCATGTACGTGTGTGTGTGTGTGTGTGTGTGTGTGGCTGCTTGTACTAGTCCGGACTGATGCCGATTTATAGTGCTAGCCAACTGAAATACCATGCCGCAGTTTTACATGAATACCCCACACAGACACAGTATACTGACTCCGAGCCGACCAGTCCTTGTTTTAGCCCCTTAATGCCGAGCGCCAGACAGGGTAACAACAAGTACCATCTATTAACGTCTTTTGGTATGAAACGGCCAGGGATCGAACCCTGGACCTTCCGCTCTCTGGGCGGATGCTCTACCACGAGACCATGGCCAAGAAGGAAAAAGGGGCGAACTGTAGATGTTCAAGGTTGATTTGAGAGTAATATTTCAAACACGTTCATTGTGCACACAGGCAAACATACATACTGGTTTGTTTGTTTGTTGTTTAACGCTGCACTCAGCAACATCACATCTATATGACAGCGTTCTGTAAATAATAGAATCTGGACCAGACAGTCCAGTGTTTGACATCATGAGCATCGATCCATGCAATTGGGATATGATGACATGGTTCAACCTAGTCAGCGAGTCTGACATCAAAATCACGTTAGTCGCCTCTTACAACAAGTATAGGTTGCTGAAGACCTATTCTACCCTTGACCTTCACGGGTACGTACTGGTATTGTTTCTTTGGGTCTGAAAACTGCCACTTTGTGAAATGGAAACTGGTGAGGTGAAATGGTGTTTAATTTTACATTCAAGGTTATTGCACTTATATAGCCATGTACGTGTGCATGTGTCTGTTTGTACTTGGGACTAAAGCCAGTTATCATGATACCCCACTTAAACACTGTACCCGCAAAGCAGACCAGTCCTTGTTTTATCACCTTAATGCCAAGAAACAGGCAGGGTAACCTAGTACCAACCTTTAACGTCCACAGACACTCCATCCACTCAACCACAGAGGCGGTCAGAAACAGTTGAAGGACTAGGAAAAAACTATGAAGGAAGATGACACTTGGGTAAATCTTAATGATTAAAGGAATTCACTTTAAATTTTATTTAAAGATTATTTCAGCCGAATCACATCTATGAAGAAGCTGTTGGAATCTGGGTTTAAATAATGTCCCAGCAAACTATAATTAAATATGAGGCAACTTACTGGATTGGTTGGTCAGGCTCAGTGACTTCTATACCATCGTCATATAGCTGGAATATTGTTTGTTTGTTTGTTGTTTAACGCCGCACTCAGCAATATTCCAGCTATATGACGGCGGTCTGTAAATAATCGAGTCTGGACCATGAGCATCGATCCACGCAATTGGGATCGATGACATGCATCAACCAAGACCGCGAGCCTGGCCACCAGATCCTGTTAGTCGCCGTTTTACAGCAAGCATGGGTTGCAGAAGACCTATTTTACCCCGGATCTTCACGGGTTGAATATTGTGGAATGCTGCGTTAAACAACCATTGAAGATAATAGGCTATAATTCATTGACAGGGAAAAGCATTATATTTAATTAAGAAGACGCCTTTTATATTATCTCTTACAATAAGCATGAGGTTGTGAGAAGCCAACCCATAACGGATGCAAAACTACACCATTACAATGGCTTTAAAAGAGCTTTTAAATATGATTTAAGAAAACGTTAATTGTATCCTTACTTTTTATAACTGAATAACATTTTTTACGTCTTTTGCATGAAGTGGCCTTAAGTCTATATAGTCTTAAGATTATCTGGGTACAATGTGTGAAGCCCATTTCTGGTGTCCCCGCCTTGATATTGCTGGAATATTACTAAAAGCGGCGTAAAACCAAACTCACTCACTCACTTAAGACTCTCACTTTACAGATTCAGATTAAATACCTCTCTGACAGGCTGGTTTCCTGTGTGCCCAGTCATCATTCATCAGACCAATGTTTCTTTTTCAAAATTGTACCATTCATGTTTATGGATCATGCTGCCAAAAACTGATAAAAGGACACAAATTCTTGAAAGAATTTGCCAGCAATTTGTCAAAAACTCTTAAAATAATTCTAACAGCATTTGAGTGAGTGAGTGAGTTGAGTTAAACGTTGCTTGCCTGATGACTGGGCCACCCATGCCACCTAACAGCATTTGAATGATTTTCACAAGTTTAGGATGGGCACATCTGCATGACATTAGTGAGTGTGCAGACACCAATATTCCACCTAACTATGGCTGCCTCATATAGTTTCTAGTCTACCGGACAAAGTAGTGGTGAATATGGATGACCTACATTCTGGTAGGATAACCCAGGGCCCAGTTTCACAAAGCGATTGTAGCGCTAATATGATCGTAACTCCCATACTTTAACTTTAGGCTTATAAAAGTTGCAGCGCTACAATCGCGTTGTGCAAGTGGGCCCAGGTCACAGATTGTGTTGTTGTTTAACGACACAACACAGCAATATTCCAGTTATACAACAGTAGACAAGACAATCCAATGATTGACATTGTGACCAACGATCCAGGCATTTGGGGTACGATGTCACACAATCAAGTCACAGAGCTTGACCACCCAATCTGTTTGGTCACCTCTTTCGACTAAGATATGTTGCTAGTGAAACCCACAAATGTGTATGGTGCTGACGAACCAAGACAAACCAGGGCGAATCGGAGACTTGAACCCAGGATCAAAGGATTCAGGCACTCCAAAAGGACGCATAGCAAATTGCTGCACCTAAGACGACCTCTTCCCCCAATTATTGGAAAATGGACCTGGAAATGGCTGTTCAGGTCATGCATGGCCAGTAATTAAGTTACCAGGTTATACTACTTTCTAAACAAAGTATCCCTTACTTGGAAACTATTAGGATTGACCTTGATCATCTTATTCAAATACGATAAGTGCAGATGTTATGGTATGTTTGTTTTGTTTGTTGTTTCAACACCACACTCGGGTACTAGTAAACATATCTGGACCAGACAAACCAGTGAGTGCCAAGCTTGACCACTCGATCAATTTAGTCGCCTTTTACAAGGACTGGCTGCTGGGGACAAATTCTAACCCATAATTTCACAAACTTCAGATAAGTGAAATGAAGTGAGGTTTTATGTTTGTACTGTTGCGTTCAAGATTATTGCAAGTATATAGTGACGTGTGCGTGTGCTTGTGTGTTTGCTTCTACTAGTCTGAACTAATACCGGTTTGAAAGTGCTATCTCACTGAGATACCATGCTGCAGTTTAACACGAATACCTTACTGTGATACACTATACTAATTCAGAGCCAACATGTCCTAATGCACTTAATGCCGAGCGTCAGACAGGTAAAAAGTGCAATTTTTTAACGTCTGTTGGTATGATGGGGACAGGGATCGAACCCTGACCTGCTCTCCAGGCAGATGTTCTTTTATCCGGACCATGGAGTCGATCATGTGATGAGCGACTTGGGTCTACATCACTTTCAACTTCTGTTACATCATGCATGTCAGTCGAGGGAGATATCCCATAATAATATCATAGACCTTCACAACTGTGCAAGCAGTTGCAGCAGTGAAAAACTGGGATATAAACCCATGACCAGCTGATCCATGCACAAGGGTTATTCAAGATAATGTGGCACCGAAAAACAATCTGTCATCTGTACTGACTGCTGATTTGGACGAGAAAACATGTTTGGCTCAACACTGCATTGAACACATTTTCAGTTTTATCACAGCATGTTAGCTTGATGTGGAAGGAAAGCCCGAAGTGATGCAGGTTTTAGACATTTACAACTTGGGTGAAACCATGAGCATGAGTAAGGTGCTGACAAACCTAGAAACATAATCAGGGCAAGCTGGGTTTCTATGCCACAATCATGTTTTGGGCATGTTTAAGGGAGGCTAGTCTGCACAGCGAATTGCTATGCCTTAGACGACTGGGCCACCCATGCCCCAGATTCTGTCGAGGAGACAACTAAAGAACTATGACATTTACAATATATATATTTATTAATTGAATGAAGACTTATTTACATACATGCAAATTAAAGACGACACCGAGAACAGTCTTTCTGTACAAAACAGATGCATTTTTTAAACACTCCACAATCATACAATGCATGCTGAAGAAGGTTTTAAAGACAGATGACCCCATACAAACATCAAATACATCAACATTATGAATTCCAAAAATATCCCAATCAAAAACCAAAAACCAACTACTGAACTCCAGAAAGAAAAAACAAACTAGCCACATAAAGCATTGAAAGAGAAATTACATTTGCTTACATTGGCCTTGTGAGTGACTGTGGTTACATTTAATAACAATGTTACTTAATATATCATGACACAGGTGATTGACTGCTGTTTCATTTAATAACAATGTTACATAATATGACATAACCCTTGTGATTGACTGTTTCATTTAATAACAATGTTACATAATATTACATGACCCTTGTGATTGACTGCTGTTTAATTTAATAACAATGTTACATAATATTACATGACCCTTGTGATTGACTCCGTTTCATTTCAATGATATGAACATTTCAGGATAAATGCAATAGCACTGTGTGTTGTCAGGTAAGGTAAAACGTATAACATTACATGATCCTAGTGATTCACTGTGTCGTATCATTTCATGTTATATTATATACCACTTCACTTTTGATGGGGATGTTTTGATCTCTCCATGATTCACAAAACTGACTCTCATAATAGGCCAAATGTGTATTTAGATAGAATGACACATTCGATTATCCCTATCAAAAATGGAGAAGTATATCACATTACTCTTGCAACCTACACCAGGGAAGATGAGACACTTTGAAAACCAAGAAACGGTTGAAACAGCAGTAAATTGGGTTCAATGCTGATATGAACGATATGTAAGTTACAACATGGTACGTGTCAAAGGCATTTACCACATTGGTGAATGCCCTTCCTGGAAATGCTGCTTGGAAGCCAATTACATGTATAGGACTTCACTAACATCCAACCATTTGACTACAAGGGATACCAGAAATGGGCTTCACACATTGTACCTATTCGTTGTGATGAGTGAACACTTTAACCACTAGACTACCCCACCGCCCACCAAGCTTAGAGTTGGATGACACAAGCATGACCTATCTCCACAGGGCGACCACACACCCCAGTTTAAGGGTCTTGTTCCTTAGAGTATTAGGGCCTCAGCAACCACAAAACAGTGAGTTTGGTTTAGCACTGCTTTGAACAGTATTTCAGTTATATTGTGGCATGTCAGCATGATGTGGGAGGAAAGCCCATAGCAATGCAGGTCTTATACATTCTGGGGAACCCACGAACACAGATTTGGTAGCAGATAAACCTAGAAGCAATCAGGACAAAGCCAGGATTCTAAGGTCTGGCACGCCTAAGGGACGCAACTCTGCACAGTGAAATCCGATGCCACGACTGGGACACCGAGTCCTCAAAAGAATGAGTGAGTGAGTATTGTCATCAAGTCTGCAGCAACATGGTGGGAGGCAGAACAGGTAACTGATGGGTTTGCTATACAGGTAAAACACAGGTAAAACAGGTAAATCACATGGACTTAGTGTTGGACACTGGAATGGTACCTACATACACAAGCATGATACAATATAGATTTATACAAAATAATAACTTTTACCCATGAAATATAATTTCCTATTTACAAAGACTAAAATATCATATACAGTGATATACAGTTGACTTTGACTGTACAGAGCAGAAAGTATCAATTACATGTGTACTGTGATATGTAAGACTAGGAGCTATGGCTGAATCTCAGAATGAGGAGGCATTGCATGGTATAGCATTCCACAAACATAAGTATCAAATAAGTCACAGTTTGTTAAGATATCAACACCCATCATATAAAGTTGACTTTAAGGGTGAGTGAGTGAGTTGGGTTTAACGCTGATTAGAACAGTATTCCAGTTATATCACAGCGTGTCAGCTGATGTGAGAGGAAAGCCAGAAGTGATGCAGGTCTCAGACGTTTACCACTTTGGTGAAACCCACGAGCACGGGTATGGTGCTGACAAACCAAGAAACAATCTTGGCGAAATGGTATGTGAACCCACGAACATAGGTTTCTTTTATGCCCAAAGGAAGCAACTTTGCACTGCAAACTGCGTTGCCTTTGATGGCTCGGCCACCGTAAAGATTGACAGGTACCCACAATAAGATAGGGTGAAACCATGTGGCAATATAACATCTGACAATCAGCCACTGACTTGCCATAGATACTAGTCAAACATATGCAAACACTCGCATAAGAATTTAACACACACATGATGAGAGTGTACAACAGAGTTTAATACTGATATCAATGAGATAATCAACGAACAATAAATATTAGGATACTTAATCTTTACATTTAATGTAATACATGACATGAATTACTACCATAAATATGTGCACAAATACACGATTGTCAGTGAAAGCTACATAGTCTGCACTTATTGCATACAAATCCCTGCACCACAACCTTCTCCTTGACAAAATATATAGCTGTGTCAGCATTTTGATCTTAGTATTACTTAGTGTGGGACAAAGGGTAGGGATGAGTGAGTGAGTGAGCATGGGAGTTTCAGTGGCAAGATTGATCTGATGGACTACAGCATGACACCCTAACTAGAAATTTCATCATTACACATATAACAGCGAAATATGACATAATTTGTTAGTATCAATCAAGCAAATTTCTTTTTACTAAATCTTTTGCCTAAAATAGTTATTATTGCAATAGTCTAAAAAGTCAAAAGTTTTAAAAAAAAATTCCAACTGAAAGTGTCTCATCTTTCATGACCCCTCCCTGAAATATACTGAACAAGAAAAGTTAGGGATCATGGATATTTTTAGGGATATTATTTTGAAATGAAGACACAGCACACACATTCATAAAAATATCCCCCAAAATTTTCACAATCCCTTACCTTTTTGTTCAGTATATATAACACTTAAATCTATTCTGAAAGATATTTGTTCTTTGAAGTGTGGCAGGAACCTACATCAAAATGCACAAAGCAGAAAAACAGTCTACCCACCATCACAGCAGCCAAGCTGTCAGTCTGATCAGGCACAACCAGTTGTCAGTTTCAAGTTTACTCAATAATACATCAACACACAGCCATTGAGCACACTGGTACTGACTTTCTAACAACATGCAACATCCAACATAACAGCATACGGTCCTGATTGCTGTAGCCTCAGAATGCCACTTTACAAATGTGAAATAAATGACTTTAACAAGGTTTTTATTCATTTAGCACATTTGCAAAAAATATCTACATCAACACTAAATATGTATATTGTTATTTGAATAGTTAAAATTTGACATCACATCAGCAATATTGCAGCCATATAGCGATGATACAATAATAATATATATATTTAGAATTTATAAAATCTGTCAGCAAAGAAAATTATTTTTAAAAAAAAATTAAAAAAAATTAATCCTTTTTTCATTTCCCCTGCGAATCATACTCCAAGAGTTTTTAAAAACAACAACATTTTTTTGGGCAATTTCTCCTTCTTTGACCTGAGTCTGTGTTTTGAAAAAGGCAGCAACAAATAGGATATCTACACTTCATTCACTGACTCCTATAGTTATAGGTAAATATTCTTCTCCCTAAAAGGTATAAAGATTTCTACCATGTCCATCCTCTATAATACAGGGTATGTTATCTCCATTCTATTATGATAACTACCCTGGACCCATTCACCACCATCGCTTTGTTTTGGAAGTGACATCTCTCTTATCACAAACTCAGCACAGTATTTCTCTTGCTCATGAAATGAAATTCAACAACCAATTAACATGCTTCTTCATTTGCCAGTTTGGTTAGATCTACATTTACAATATCACGACCTTGCAAATTAGAACACGTCACAAAGTTGAAGCTGGAAAGACGATTTCCTAAGTAATAGGGTTCCGTATCCAAGATGTTTCGGTTGTATTTGAGGCGACATTGAAACCTGTGTGATTTTGTCGCTTGTTTCAATCGTAAAAATTTCAGAATAATTTGATTGGATGTCTATTTTTGTTGTTGTGTCAATCGAATAGTTTCAAAACAAACGTATGATAGCGAATTCATCCAGGGTACTTATGTTATGATAAGAGAATGGAGACTTAATACACTGGACAATGAGGCTGTACCCACTGTACCCAGTGGAGTGGGATTTCATGGCCTTCTACCACGCTCAGTCAAGGTGCTTTCCAGGTTTACAAAATAATGACAACTGATTTAATAAGACAGTTTTTTCTTGTATGATGTAAAAACTCAGAGTTTTGTCTGAATGGAACAAATTTACTTTCATGGAATGAGTTTATACTGATGTCAGAACCTGTGCATCAAGAAAATATTTTCCACCATACAGTCTGACTGAGCCCCAGGTTAACGACCTGGCTGACAGACTTTTCAAATATGACATCAATAATCATCTTAGAACCCTGCTTCCTTGTGTTCCCTGGTTCCGTGTGTTCCCATGTCTCTGTTGTGTTCATCAGGCTTGTTCTATCTTCAGTCGTACTCGTGGCTACTTTCCCTCTGTTTAATGAGCGGCTCTGTACTCTCCGTCTTCTCCTCATATCTCTGGTTCACCTTCACCACACTGTCCATCAGTCCTGTCTGAGTCAGCCTACAAAAACGTTTGTTTGTTGTTTAACGTTGTGGGTAACAATCCATGCCATAGGGGTACAAGGCACGCTATCAACCATTACACCAAGCCTGATCACCTGATACATACAACAGCACAGGTTGCTGGGGACCTATTCTAACCCAAAATCCCGAACCAGATGTCTTTTTCATTATGCAATTTTATTTGGAATATGCACCGACTCGTTAGTCAAGCCAAAATATAGCTCTGAAATTCCAGCCTAGTTAGGCAGGGATCGAAACTGGCCTTTTATAGTCTGTTAACTCCCTTGCCTCGAGAAGATGCACTTTCCTACCCAGAGTTCCATGCGCCCTGTATAGTACCTCTGCCAGAGGGAAGCCCCCAAACTACTTGCATATGACTAATCTGTTCTGATTTCAGAATAAGCCTGTTTGTTTACAAATAAAAGAAAAGTCCGGTCACATGATATGTGTGGGTATAACAAAAGGGTACTGATTCTTGTACTCAAATTTACTTTATCTTCACTTCATACACCGCAGTGTTCAATATTCATAGACCTAGTCGGTTCAAGCTACAATAAATAAAAGGTTTCCGCAGAGTCTAGATATTCAAGTATCATATTAAATATGCAAGTTAAAACTGAGACTGAAACTGAAACTGTTATTAATAATAATGATGATGCTTGATGGTGCTTTGTGCTTAAGTATTAGGATTTTTATATTTTTTTTGAAAATGGAAATAAACACAAACTGTGTGGTAGACTTTATGATGATGCAGGTGGTGCCTGAGAACCAAGACTATTATTATTTTTAGCCTAACGAAAACATGTAACACCATTCCACGCCAACACATGTGTTTTAGACATGTTAGATATAACTGCATATTTCTTGTTGAATTAGGTTCATATTACGCAATTGTTGGATACATGAATCTTACTTACAAAATTTCAGTATACTGACTCCGAGCCGACCAGTCCTTGTTTTAGCCCCTTAATGCCGAGCGCCAGACAGGGTAACAACAAGTACCATCTTTTAACGTCTTTTGGTATGACGAGGCCGGGGATCAAACCCCGGACCTTCCGCTCTCCGGGCGGACGCTCTACCACTAGACCACGCAGACGGTCATGAGATTTAAAAAACTCTTTCGGTTACAATATGCAAATAAGCCTGTGGCAGTGGAGTTGTGCTAAGACACCACTGCGCTGGAGTGTGGGGAAGATGGTACTGTGTAACATGCAATCTACAATTTGGAATAGTTCTAACTTTCTGTGATCCAACAGGAGTACAAATGTAAATTATTTGCATCCAATCCTAATTTGTATTTGTACAGCTTGCAAAATATTGTGACTGGTAAAACCCTGGATGATCATAGTGAACTTAACAATTTTAAGATGAAAAATATATAACCATGGCAACTTACACCTCCTCCATCTCGATCTCGTCATCACTTTCTTGAGGGACCTGGAGGTAGGGGTTGTCAGAGGCGGGGCGGAACTTGTACCCAGTCACCACGAAGAAGATCAACGTGGCCAGTTCCTTGAACAGTTCGGTCAACCATTCCAGCTTGAAGGGCAGAGTGATCTGCAAACAGGTACATGTACTACAACTTTACGAGTTACCCTTCGGTAGTAATAGGCGATGTTAAATATTTAAGAATTGCTACGACAGACAGACGGTGTGACGGACGGACAGACAGACAGAGTGACGGAGGGTAAAAGGCAAACTTACCTTCAGCAAATAAACTATTATTCTCGTAAAATAGATGAAACACACAATCTGGAAGAGAGAAAAAATGAAATTCTTGTCAGTAAATAGAAATAAACAGCAAATCAATGTGGACTGACTTACCAGGTTAGTTGATTAGGAAATTGTCTTAGTTACCAGTTTGTGAGTACAAAGCGAATTGTGGCGCCTTAGATGACTGGGCAACCCGTGCCCCCGAATCAGGTTGCAGAAGCATGACAGATCTCCTCAGGGCTACCCCACCCCTGAGTGTAAGGGCCCTCGGACTAACAAAGTTTATGAAATCTTTCATTACAAAACATATTTCTCTCCTCTTTAATTATAACAAATAGTTTTCCTGGTGCTGATTTAAGAGCTTGCTAGAAGACTTGCTTTTATATAAATCTTAGTAGACACCGAAATAAGAATACCAAAACGTCACCAAAATATAGAAGTTGTTATCCATAAATTGTAGCTACTTTGTTATCCGTCAACTTCTAAATGCCTATCAAACAATTTCTATAAATCTTGACTGGTTTTGTTTTCATAAAATACATATATTCCACAGTCAGGGAGCAGGACAACATGGCCCCCAGCTGCCACTGAGGGGTGAATCTGGTTCCATGTCGCTGTGAACAGTATTTCGGACTACTTACCAGTATATAAAACTGTCTAAATAGTTTAAGTTTGTTGAGATTCATAGCTGCCTTGCCATCTGTGCGTGAAGCTTCCTGGAGATGCCGGATAGACCTGGAGAGGATAGTGGAGTGAGTGAGTTGGGCTTAATGCCAGTTTGAACAGTATGCTAGTTATATCACAGCGTGTCAGCTTAATGTGGGAGGAAAGCCTGAAGTGATGCAGGTCTCAGACGTTTACCACTTTGGTTAAACCCACGAGCACGGGTATGATGCTGACAAACATAATCATGCAAACTGGGAGTGGAACCCACAATCAAAGGTTACTGGCACACCCAACGGATGAAACTCTGCACAGCAAATTGCTAATGACTGGGCCACCTGTGCTCCTTGCTATAGTTTAAGAATAACTAACTAGGAACCACGGATTATCTGTCCCAAATGAAGGAATGATGCAAAGCCAGAGTCACTGGCAACGTCTTACAGCACTCTTATGAACAATTGATGATGTCATACAATAATGTTCTTAACAATGAGACAATGACATCATCTTGCTTCAACTGACCATACAGCTACATCCCAGCAGATGTTTTTTTTTTTGACAATACAAGACAACTTGTTATGCCTTGAAACGTTACATGTATCCAGGTCTTAGACATCTATCAATGTGATGCACCCCAAGAAACATAACCAGGGCCATGCCTAAGGGAGGCAACTCTACTCAGTTACTTGCAGCATCTGAGACCACACACAAATGGAAATGATGTTTTCATAAATTGAACTAACCAGACAACTGGGAAGAGGATTGCTCCACAACACAGAAGGTCAAAGAGGATGAAGATTTCCTTCCACGTGGTGTACAACACCTGTCCTTCTTCACTCTCCTCGACGATCACCCACGCAACCTGGTCCAGCACCTGGCAACACAACGACACAGCTATACAGTGTGGGATCACTGATCAAAGGATCATAGGTTTATGTGAACTGGAAGGTTGAATCCCTTACCTGCAGTAGTTGCAATTAGACTGAACACTGTTTGATGCATCTATTTATGTGAGCTAGAAGGTTTAACCCTTTACCTGCAGTGTTGGCAAGACTGTTCGATGCATCAATTTATGTGAGCTAGAAGGTTTAACCCCTTACCTGCAGTGCCTGCAACAGTGTTTGATGCATCAATTTATGTGAGCTGGAAGGTTTAACCCTTTACATGCAGTGCCTGCAACAGTGTTTGATGCATCAATTTATGTGAGCTGGAAGGTTTAACCCCTTACCTGCAGTGGTAGGACAATAAGGAAGAGTTTCTTCTCCTTATGACTCAGCATGTGCTTGATGAAAGCCCAGCCTGCACCAATCAGGAGGATGGTTACAAACATCAACGCTCCCCGGAATCTGGATATGACAAACATCATTATCAGTCTTTCAGTATATATCTGTTAGCACCAAACACTGTATACCAGAGAAACATTTTAAGGAATGAAATAAGGATATGGCATTAATTACTAGATTTGTATATTTTTTCTTAAATGCCACGCATGAGGCATTATAATTCTTTTTTTACAATATGTTCACGGGACATGATTACATTAACTGGCGATTCAAATGAAGCATGAATGTTTGGTAGAACTATGTTATTTCATCAAGAAAAGGGGTGGCCCAGTTGTCTAAGGAGCCGCAATGTGCTGTGCAGAGTCACGTCCCTTGGGCATGACAGAAACCTATGATTGTGGGTTCGAATCCTGGTTCGCCCTGATTATGTTTCTAGGTTTGTCAGCACCATACCCGTGCTCGTGGGTTTCACTGATGCGGTAAACGTCTGAGACCTGCATCACGTCAGGCTTTCCTCCCACATAAGGCTGACACGCTGCGATATAACTGGAATACTGTTAAAAGCGGCGTTAAACTCAACTCACTCACTCATGAAAATCACAAACAAGTAAACACACATAGTTTATTCTTTTCATCTGAAGTTTCTTGAGGACAATACAATGTTGTAAGCATGGTGAGCATGGTGAGGTTGGATGTAATAAGAGTGATATTCAGTAATTTACTTATTTCTCAGTGATGACCCAAGCAGGGAAGTTAGGTCGTCTGTTTCTCATCTCAAAATTCTATCGTCATCCACCACTGTGTGTGACATCATGGCTATTTTTAGTAGCACCAAGTGCGTATTCGAAATATTCACATATTTTTACACACTCTCTCAAATGTTATTTGATAGAAATTCGAAATTACCAAATATTATTGAATGTAATATTAATACAGTGTACTTCCAGACAGGGTGTCAGGTTAATCTACGAGCAAATTACACAAAATGTGACGAGTAAACTACAAAAGATATGCTTTATCTTTTTTTGTAATAGTTGACTTCATCATCCTTATACCATATTATTTAGGTTAAAATCATAATGATTACAGTGACATTCTAAAGGTAGGCCCCTCTGTATAGCCCATTAATGGTCATCTAACCCTTACTGGGAAAACACTTAAGTGACCAAGGACTGCATACTAAGTGGGGCTGCACAGTCCTGGATACCCCACTCAGACTCAATCTACTGAAACCTAGCTGACCAGTCCTTGTTTTATCCCCTTAATGCCAAGCATCAGGCAGGGTAACAACTAAAGCCATCTTTAAACATCTTTGCATATTACACGGGTAGGCGCTCTATCCACTAGACCACAGAGGCGGCATAAGGAGGGTGAAAGAGTGGAATTGTCCTACTCACAAGTACACAATATAGTATAGGATGGCCCAGGTTTCTTCGTGGATTCCCGTCACCTCAATGAAATAGCTGTTCACCTGAATTATAAAAACAAACCAGTTTTGGAAAAAGAAACAATAATTCATAACAAGGAGGACAGCAGACAAACAGGTATATATTTTCTTCACTATAGTGTGCACCCAAACATAATGAGCACCCCCTTCAAGGGGAGGTATCAGTATTTTATTCTGTGTGTCGGTTTACGGCAGACACGCTTGTGTTATGGTTTATCCACAGGAGGAAAAATAATTGAAATCTTATGGCAGCGTGCATAAGGCACACTCCCCTCTAAGCTGCTTCTTTTTGAGAAAACAAAGAGTGCGAATACGCTAGAAAATATGTAAATATTGTAGTTCATTATTTACCCAAGAGTGACGCATTAAATGTGTTCATTACTTTGTATGATTCTAAGTTGCATGATGCTTTAAGAATGTCAAACAATAATCTAATCAGGGCAGTATATGTTCAAAACTTTTCTTCTGCATGTTCTGACAATCCAGTGATTGACTTCATGAGCATTGATCTACACAGTTGGGATACGATGACATGCATCAACCAAGTCAGCGAGCCTGACCACCCGATCGCCTCTTACGACAAACATGGGTTGTTGGAAGCCTATTCTAACCCGGATCTTTGGATCATATTAAGCAGTGTCCCAATCAAGATGAAGGTATTATATTACCTTCTCAAAAAACAGAAGGATGAAAAAAAATTAAAATGAGTGAGCAAGTTTGTTTTTTTCAACAAAATATTATATATTTTGACATCAGAACATTCAGGAATCTATTTCCTTTAATCGTATTGGAGGAATTTGGTTCAAAGTAATCACCAAAATTGTAATGGTCAGCATCTCTGTATATGTAAAGTCTGCAGTAATGCTACAGAACATGGGCTTACAAACTGGGGTGGGAAAGAATGGAGGCCTACACCTACCCCATGGAAGGCGCTGGAGAGACTTTTCACAAAGACGACAGCCAGCATGAGGAAGTGGATCTTGTACACCTCGCTCCTGTACACAAGATACACATGGTCACACAATGAGTCACCAGGTCACAGAGGATTTTAGTTTGGTTTGTTGTTTAACGCCACACTCAGCAATATTCCAGCTATATGACGGCGGTCTGAAAATAATCGAGTCTGGACCATACAATCCAGTGATTAATATCATGAGCATTGATCCACGCAATTGGGATCGATGACATGCATCAACCAAGTCAGCGAGCCTGACCACCCGATCCCGTTAGTCGCCTTTTACGACAAGCATAGTCACCTTTTACGGCAAGCATGGGTTGCTGAAGACCTATTCTTCCCCGGAATCTTCATGGGTCTGGTCACACAATGAGTCACAAGGCCATAGAGGAGGTAAAATAGGTGCTGCATCACAGTCACCAAAGTCATATCAAGTGGGAGTGGGTGAATGTTAGTTCAGCAATATCACAAAGGCCCGTAAATAATCAAGTATGGACCAGGCAAATCAAGATCCACGACACCAGGTCACAGAGGCTGCTGAGCCAATTGCCACCTTAATTGGCAAGCATGCAGGTTTTTATCTAGACCTGCTTAGAGGCAGCTATTTGGCCCTAAGTCAGCAGTATGTCAAATGCTTTGAAGAGGTGACTGAGATGGGAATCCTCGGATTTTTGTAATCAAAATTGTGAAATTGTACTGTCATCTGGTAATTTGATGAATACTTGGGGTTGAAAATCGGCCTCTGATCTGGTCTAGACAAATTCCTGAACTTGTAGTGCAAGCAAATCTGACTGGAATATTCTTGGAAATTACAACAGTTATCTGAAGTTACCGTATCCATATTCTCTACTGTGCCAATGTACTCTGTGAATCCTAACCTCCAAGTAAAGTGTCTCCAAATCATATACTCCATTCCATTGAAAGTGAACTCTAAATATGCATTCCAGATCGAAACCCAAAATAGGAAATGTTTCATGGTAGCTGCCATCTTGTTTTCCAAAGCTAATAATACTTTTTTTTTTTGATGATCTCACTGATCAGCAATAAGTTCAGCTTCAAAGGCCATGTGTACAATTCTACAACAGATGTTTCACACAACATTACAAAATGGCGGCTGTTTGTCATTCAACCGAGATAATCGTCATATATCTTTCTTTGAGGTAACCATTCACAAGACCTCCTATCTGCTAAATATTTTCTCATCAAAATTACATGATTCATGAGAAAGTGTCCAATAAAAAAAAATAAACAGACATGAGAAGGGGTGGAATTTTGACTAGCCAGATGGGCCTTCTACTTTACATTTCAGCAAGCCCTTTGTAATCTTAACTGGCCACGGGCCAATGGGCCATCTGATATCAGAACCTCACTGGAATCTACATGAAAGTACTGCCTGGATATCACAAGCTTCTACGGTGATGGAGATAACCTTCAATTGACAACAAGTCGGTGGGAGAAGACAGCAGAGAGGAGAACAAACATACACTGACTTTTTTATCACGCCGAGCCACAAACATGCAGCGATGAAGAAGATGAGGCTGAAGGTGAAGTAGAGAGCTGGCTCGGGCATCTGTCCTGCAGACAGGAAGTTGCCGTTGTTGTCCTCTGTAATCTCCAGCTGTGGATGGAAGCAACATCATGTGTGATGACCTCATTGTGAATAATTTACATAGTTTAAGACTATGTATTATGACATATCATGCATATCTTGTGATTATGACTTTGTAACATGCATATCATAATTACAATGAAAATAATTACACTGATATGGTTTTACTAGGTTATTGTTACAACATGCAAGTTGTTGTTTAATGCCACAGTCAGCAATATTCCAGCCATATGACGGCGGTCTGCAAATAATCGAGTCTGACAGTGACTGACATCATGACCATCGATACACGCAATTGCAACACGATGACATGCATTAACTAAGTCAGCGAACCTAACCACCCGATCCCGTTAGTCGCCTCTTATGACAAGCATAGTCGCCTTTTACGGCATGCATGGGTTGCTGAAGACCTATTCTACACCAGTTCTTCACGGGTCCAACATGCATGTACCACATGTATGTCATATGTACTGGTTAAGTTAGTTTCTTGTTTTAACACCTGACTCAGCAATATTCCAGCAATAGGACAGCAACCTGTAAATAGCCGAGTCTTGACCAGATCAAATGTTTGGTATTATGAGCAACGATCAATGTCATCAGGTACGATGACACGTGTTACAAGTCTGACAAGCAAATCCATTCAGTTGTTCTGATGGCAAATACAGGTTGCTGGGGCCCAAATCTAACCTGGAATCACCACATGGGCTGGACAATGCAATGATCTGACACCCCCTACAGGTACTTATGGGACTTACAGAGAGGTTGACCATGGACTTGGCCTTATGGTCATAGTTGTAGCAATTATGGAAGAACAGGTTATATAGCCCCTCCTCCTGCTTGGTCTTGATAGCTACAAGAAACTGCAAAAAAGAAAGAATTTATATATATATATATATATAAATTCATGCTGGTCAAATTCCAGTCATATCCTGGACCAATATAACATCATGAAGTTTCAGTTTCATCCTCGATTATCCAGGGTATTATATCTCTATTCTATGAGGATAAATACCCTGGACCCATTTGCCACCACAGTAGGATTTTCAGTTCAATTCAAATGCCAGGAAAAGCTGGCCAATCAAATTTTACAGTTCTTCATATTAATGATAGAAACAAGCTTCAATATCACAAATTTATAGTGAACAAGTGTCTACCTTTATTGAAAGAGGCAAATAAACAACTGTATCGGAGAGTTATTCTGTTCGCCATTTGCAAAAACGTGATCAGCTGTTTCCTGTGACGTCACAAACAGTGACCACTGTGATTGCTTCCTGTTGTTTAAAAAGCAACACAGTACACAAGGAAATGAGCACTGATAATAACGGGCCGTATGGTATTGTCATGTTGTTTACACAAACATTTTCAAGTTGTGGGTGCTTGACTGGCATTCTCATCATGAGTTCAAAACGAAAACGCCATGCTTACGATGCTGTATTCAAACTACGAGTCGTCGTGGAGGAAAGAAAAGACATGTTTTTATGTCGTACTATGCGCACTGGGTAGAAGATCAATGTTTGAGGTTCCACTGGCTGCATCAGCCAGCCAGCCGGTGAGTCAAATGTAAGAAAGGGACGTATCCATTCAGAAAAGGTACATATTATTATAGATGACAAATATAAATCAGAGTTACCTCACTTAATCCTATCATGCTTATCCACAAATCTGCTTCATCTGGGACTGGGTAGATGTATTAAGATTCTGTCATCATGTCAAATAGTGCAAGAAAATCTAAGTTGTAAGACACACTTTTGCAATACCAGAATTTTAGTAAAATCGAAATATTTTTTACATTTGTATACTTATCTTGCATTACTCCGTAATGCATTCACTGCTTACCTTACGACAACAAGAAGACAGCGCAACTGCGATGGTCTTGGGTGAAGAAATAAAGATGTTGTTTTGAAGTCCCACTTTTACATGGACCACCACTGCTGTCGTGTGACCTGGATGACATGAAAAGTCATCTTCTTCACATCACCAATCACTGCCTGTGCCCGAGCTCAAAAAACATACTTTTGATGTTTCTGTAGCCAAAGCGGGGAGGCAAGTCTGCGACTGGTGGGTCCTTAAACGTAGTAATACAGGACAAGTATACAAATGTAAAAAATATTCAGATTTTACTAAATGTTTTACTCATCCTGCATTACTCCTTAATGCATCTGTATCGGACGGTTTTGAGGTGGGTAAACCTTCAGAAATTCAGAAACCTCAATAATTCACACCCTGAAAACATGACACAAGTTGGTCGATAAACCGTGAAGCGGAAAAGTTCAGAAAAACGCCATTACGGTAGGGTTGTTCAAATATCAAACAGATTGAACATAAGAATTAAAGAGTTGTTCCCTATACATATTCAGTAATAAAGAAAATAATAGCTAGCCAACTAATTCTTTACTTACTATGTCATAGAGCCGAGGTCTGACAAATAAGATTGTCTCATATTCTTCTTCTTACCGAAATCTCAGCGACTAGCACAGGGAAGTAAACTGCCTTTGACATCCTCGAGAGCCAAATTGCGAAGATAATGACTAGCGAAAACTGTGTTGGACCTCCAAAAACATCCTTCAATGACTGTTCTAACAGAACAGTTGCTGTGTAAAGCCATGGTAGAGGCTAGTGCCCAGATCTCATGAGGGTTATTCGCTCTTGAGGGATACAGTTTGGTGATCTCGTAAGCATGAAAGATGACTGCGAGAAACCATAGGGATATGGTGTTGCGACTAACTTCGGTCGTGGAGGTAGGAGACACGGATATAAATAACTGCTTCCTCGAAACATGCCTAGTCTTGGAGCGGTGGACACACCGGGCACAGGAGAAGTTCACCCTCATCTTCGGCTCCCACAATAGACGTCGCTATAAAATCCCAGCACAACCTGAGATGTACCACTCCGTGCATTACCAGGTGACGTCGATCGCATGTAGCTTGCTCACCCGTGCCGCCTTGGCTAATGCCAAGAGAAATATTGTTTTCTTGGTGAGGTCATAAAATGAGGATGCAAAGAGGGGCTCAAAGGGGGGCCCTTACAAACCTCAAAGTAACACGTTCAAATCCCAAGCAGGTGGGCGGAACTTGGTCTTCTGACTCTCAAGCCTGAATGAGCGTAGTAGGGCCTGTAGTTCCAGGACCTTAGTAATCTTACGATTTTCCGTAACAGCCAACACTGAGTTAAGTGCAAACAAATACGTAGTAATGGTGCTACCTTTCAAGTGTCTATGGGTACGCAGATGTAGGAGGTATTCAGCTAGGAATTGTGGTGACGCAGTAGTAGGGTTTTGATTTTTTCCTTGCAAAAAGTCTCAAATGATCCCTACTTGTCTTCGTATAGTCTTCTGGTAGAGGGACGATGAGCTAAAGCTATAGCTCTTGCTGCCTGCGTCGAATAACACTTTGCACTTAATGCCTTTATAAGACGAACCAAGCGTGCAGACGAAACCTGTCTGGCGTTGGGTGAGGCAATTTGCTGTGAGGGTGGATGAGTAGCTTGGACTACTGTAGGAGGGGTAGTGGATTGTCTTCTGCTAGAGTTCTGACCTCGATGAACCACCCTCTCGCCAGCCACCAGGCCGCAACCAAAGTCAGAGCAAGAATCCTTGTCTCCCTGATTGCGCAGGCACCACACCACAGTGTTGTTGCCTGTGGATATTGTGAGTTAGGAGGACTGTAGCTGATTCTGCCAATGGGATATGGACAGAATTAATGCTTCCAACTCCAAGTTGTTTACGTGCCACTTTCAATGAGCGCCGGACCATGGCCTGAGGCTGTCTGGCCTTGCAGGTGAGAACCCCTGAAGGGAGGTGTCTACGAACAGGTGTAGACTCGGGGATAACCCAGATAAAGAGACTCCTCCTAAGACATTCGACTCTACTGTCCACCAGTTGAGGTAAGGCCTTAGTTGAGCCAGTAGAGTGATGGGCTTGAGTGGATCCTGATGCCTGATGTAAGGGTTCAGGAATTGTTGAATTGGACACAGTTGTAAGCGGCCTCTGCTGGTTTAGTCCTGTGCTGAGGTGAGTAACCCTAGCAACACTTGCCATTGGCGAAGTGTGTGTGGTTGGTGTAGCGCAGGTGACAAGAGGCGTAGGATTTTGTGCTATCTGTCCCTTGGTACTGGTAGGAGATCCTGGTCTGTCTGGAACAGACCTCCTATGAACTGGAACCAACTTCGCCTTGTTGATTAGCCATCTCAGTTTATCTGTCGTCTGGTGAAGTCCCGGTGGCTGCTAACGTCTGCGTGTGTTGACACAGGAGACAGTCGTCTATGTACGACTCGATCCACATGTTCCCCAGGTGTAGATACGCTGTTATTGGCTTCATTGCCCGGTACTTGTGTAAATAGCCATGGCGCAACTGAAATGCCAAATGGGAGCACTACCCATTGGTAGTGAACCCCATTGAACTGGAACCTGAGGAACCTGCGGTTGGAGGGATGGATAGGTATATGCAGGTAGGCATCCTGCAGGTCGAGACTGATCAAGGAATCGAACGCCTTTATGCTGGTTCTGAGCAGTCTCAACATGGTGAGATGGAAGTAAGGTGGCCGCTTCAGGTAACATTCATTTAACATGGAGAGATCGTGAATCATTCTCATCTTGTCTGAGTCTTTCTTGGGTACCAGGAAGATGTGAGAATAGAAGCCTGGTGTTAACGCTGGGGTGCGTACAATCTCTGCAGGTCCCTTTACCAACAGTATGTCTATGTTGGCTTTTAATAGTTTAAATGCTTGAACTCAGAGTCCCAGGTAGATAGCACTAAATAGCCAAGTCTGCATGTGACAGTAATCTCCGCCAGGGCAGCTTTTAGGTGATTCCTCATGTTGTCAATCTGACGCTGTGGGAAATCCACTATAGTTTGGAGATGATCTAATCGGTTAGGGTTGTCCTCTGATAGATCCTGCTCTACCGCACGTGTTGACGATGCTAGTGCTGACAAAGGTATTAATACCCATCTGATTTCCGTTTCAATAAACGCAAATCTGGTATCCTGAACCTTAAGAGTGGTTGGCCTTGTAGAGCCTGTCATCCTCTGTATGTCATTAAAAGTATGAGCCTGGTCTGCTACCGCAAATTCATAGATAGGAAACTCATCTTTCCTAAACTTGGGTGGCTTAAATGACGGCGCAAGTGTGAGCTTGGAGAAATTTTCATCCAATGACCTAGACATACCTGTCAGCATAGTGTCGGCCGGAATCGATGTAGGATCCGACCATATGGTGTCCTTTTTATCCAACCCGTTACCAGGGGAAGGCACTGATATGAGACGGTCTGCTACTTGTATGACGCGCAATAGGTGCACTGTAGACGTTAGGTGCCGGAGTAGGTGCTAAGCCGTGTGCCATGGTTGTAAGTGACGCAGGCGTCTGATACATAGAATTGGCATGGGCGCAGGATACAGGTGTGTGATTGTGACATCTTTCTCGCCACACGACGGGATTCCTGCAAAATATGTTTGTGAGTAACCTGCCTTTATATTGTAAAACTCGCTGGAGAGAGATTTACACACAATTTACTTTTAGAACTTGGCATGCAAATCTGCGTGCAAGCCAAACAACGTGGATGGGGGCCTTTGGAAGATTTTATTCCACGCTAATTAGTGCAGGGCGCAAGCATAAGTTATGCAATCAAAGAATTGTTGAAGAAACGGGACTGGAAAGGTGCCGAAGAATTGAACAATATTCTATCGCAAAATGTTTTTTACGAGTTGAATGTGTATACAATATTGATATACGCAACTCAATGTAACGCCAGAGCTACTAGTATTTAAAAATACATGAATATGTTACACATATGTAGCTGAGAAGAGTAAACAATTTGACTACATTGGCAGGCAAACAATTGTAACACAAATTCAAAATGGCGGACAACAAACAAGTGGCGGGAAAAAAGACAGAGTCTTTTAACACCTAAATAATCCACATAAAACTACACAACATGGTGAAAGTAATATGAAATGAAAACATCCCTCTTTGCAGATCAATTTTAGAATTATAGCCAAAAACTGAAGGTCTAAACTAATCCAATTAGAAGGGCTCCGCTGAGACACGTCCTTGCTGTAGTGCAACAGGCAGTGATGTGAAGGAGGTGACCTTTCATGTCATCAACGTCACACGACAGCGGCGGTGGTCCGACAACATCTTTATTTCTTCACCAAAGACCATCGCCGTTGCACTGTCTTCTTGTTGTCGCAAGATGAGCAGTAAATGCATTAAGGAGTAATGCAGGAAAAGTAAAAAATTTACATGGTGCAGAAATGTGCATCCAGTATGCACAAATGTATAGAATAGAAAAAGATATTGTGTCCCAAGGGAAGTATAATAATATTCAGTTTACAAAATTCTAAACAAGACATACACAGGTCCTGTAATTAAAATACATAAAAAAAATAAGAATGTGACAGTACAGTACTCCAGGTAAACAACACCATTTCCTGACTTTACAGGACCCTTGAAATTAATTATTAGGGGTCTCCCGGAACCCCCGTTTTGTAAGTCAATGTAAAACCTGAATACTATTGCAATAGTCTGAAAGTTGTACTGATGTTACATTAGTATAGCAACAGTGTGTTGATATTGATGTGGACTTAGTGAGTGAGAATGATTTTATGCCGCTTTAAGCAATATTCCAGCAATATCACAGCATAGGACATCAGCAATGATCAGAAATAGGATTCCTATTGCATCCATGTGGGCAATCTAACCTGAGCCTTCTGGTGACGAGTGAATGCTCTTTCCGCTAGGCTACCCCACCGACCCAGGTGGAATAAACTAAGGATGACAAAGCCTGGCTGACGGCATACATACTTACATGTCCAGTCAACACTCCGTCAGTTTCGTTCATTTTGAAAACCAGAGTGTCATTGGGGGCCAGTTTCAAAGTACTTTTTCCTGCAGTGTGATTGGAATTTGATGGTGCTGATGTAGCTGCTGATGGTGCTGATGTTGTTGCTGATGCTGTAGTTGGTGCATCCCCGGCAGCCCGGCGCTTCTGCCTGTGGAGAAGAGACTTGTCGGAGAGGGAATTGACGATTTGGGAATTCTTGACGGCTGATGTGTCTCTGCGGTGGAGGTTGTTGTTGTCAAGGTAGGTGTCTCGGTCAGTCTCTGTGATGAGGAGGAGGCTGGAGACCTTGTCCCCCTGCCTGTGCTTCACGATCAGCCTGGAGGAGGAGGTACACGGGTACAGGGCAAGAAATATTTTTGTTTTCAAGTGTACAGTGCGGCACATGTTTAAGGATACCTTCCGAATTTAACATTTTGTTTTGTTTGTTTATTTGTCGTTTAACGCCACACTCAGCAATATTCCAGCTATAAGACGGCGGTCTGTAAATAATCGAGTCTGGATCAGACAATCCAGTGATAGACATCATGAGCATCGATCCATGCATTTGAGATACGATGACATGCATCAACCAAGTCAACGAGCCTGACCACCCAATCCTGTTAGTCGCCTCTTACGACAAGCATGGTCGCCTTTTACTGCAAGCATGGGTTGGGTTTAATGCCGCTTTTAACAGTATTCAAGTTATATCGCGGCCTGTCAGCTTAATGTGGGAAGAAGCCCGAAGCGATGCAGGTTTCAGACGTTTACCACTTTGGTGAAACCCACGAACATGAGTATGGTGCTGAACAAAACAGAAACATAATCGGGGCGAACTGGGATTCAAACCCACAATCATGTTTGACTATGCATATTTTATTCAAATATGCAGTTGATCTGGAGCACTGGTACAAGACTTACTCTTTGTGCACTTGATCTATAATGAAGAAGACCATGGACACTGACTTGTCTGCTGGAGCCTGAGATTTGTTTAGTATACAACTGTCTTCCATGTTCTCCTGAAACAGACACAGAATAAATCTGGAGCTATTCATAGACTTGAATCAACCTGGAGCCATTCACAGACTTGAATAAATCTGTAGCTATTCATAGACGCGAATAATTCTGTAGCTATTCATACACTTGAATAAATCTGTAGCTATTCACATACTTGAATAAATCTGTAGGCATTCACACATATGAATAAATCTGTAGCTATTTGTCATGTTCGTAGACTTGAATAAATCTGTAGCTATTCGTAGACTTGAATGAATCTATAGCCATTCACACATATGAATAAATCTGTAGCTATTCGTAGACTTGAATAAATCTATAGCCATTCACACAAATGTATAAATCTGTAGCTATTTGTCATGTTCGTAGACTTGAATAAATCTGTAGCTATTTGTAGACTTGAATAAATCTATAGCCATTCACACATATGAATAAATCTGTAGCTATTTGTCACGTTCGTAGACTTGAATAAATCTGTAGCTATTCGTAGACTTGAATAAATCTGTAGCCATTCACACAAATGTATAAATCTGTAGCTATTCATTATGTTCGTAGACTTGAATAAATCTGTAGCTATTCGTAGACTTGAATAAATCTGTAGCTATTCGTAGACTTGAATAAATCTGTAGCCATTCACACAAATGTACAAATCTGCAGCCATTCATAGACTTGAATAAATATCTAGCCATTCACCGACTTGAATAAATAGCCATGCATCGATGTCTTCAGAGGGCAAATGGGTTAGATCATAGTGTTCTCAACTGCAAGCTTTTGACGAAACTTTCTTAAATTTTACGTTTTTTATCAAGCACATGATTTAGAGCCTAAAGTCACAATAAGAAATTAAAGTAGTATTTGCCTGACCGCTTCCTTCTGATCATGCTGATTGCTAAAAAAATATATTGATCAATTTTAAATGGTCCTGTTAGTGATTGTGTTATTAGTGTCACCTAAATAAATGAAAGCTGATTTAGAAAAGTTATTGTTACCATAATAACAGATATTGCTTCAGACCTGGCTCCAAAGTTCAGCGTCAAGAACACCTGTCTGAAAGCCCCATAGATATGATAGTCTTAATCATTAAATAATAACTGGCTAGATAACATTTGCAGAACCCATATAACAATACATCCTAATAATCCCCTTGTACTTACAATGTAGGACGAGACCTCCTTTGTTTTGCTCTTGTCCAGAGTAAAACCAAATACCTGTAATAGATCAGAAAAAACATCACACCACGTCATAGTAACTATTACACAACAAAGCGGACATATCTATTCACAACTGATTGAAGAATGTGGTGTAAACTAACCTGTGACGTATAAGTGATGAATTCAACTGTAAAATACTAGTTTCTGATGGTATCTGTAAGTTCTCAAGCCATTTGTTCAAAAGACTCAATTTTCGACAATATGTTTTGGTTAGATCTTTAGAAGATAGAATACCCATTTCAAATACACCTCCTCAACCTCACCGACACAGAAAGTGTAAAAATGCCATGTTATGTATGGCATCACAGCTAAAGTAAAAAGACATATACTGTAAACCTTGAAATTAAAGCGAGCGTGAATAAAATGCGAAAAATGCGAGTGATCTTTGCTTGCATGACTGACTGACTGATATAGAAGATTTAACGTGCGCTTTCCGACTGCAGCGTATTTCGCACACGGGCCTGGCCGGACCATTTAGTGTATTCCGAGGAGGGTGAAAGTGGTGTGTGCAACCCAAGAGGGGGGCTTTTAGGGGTTGCTTATATCGATTTTTGAAATTTTAAAATTTGGAATAAATGCCGAGGTGGATGGAGGAGGGAACTAAGGGAGCTGGGTGAGGTGGGTATTTGTATGTTTATTGGATTTTGGGTTGGTAGATTAATTAGTTTTTAGATGCGCTTAATTAGGCCTGTTTTGATTAGGAATACGCCTAGGGCCTTGAAGTTTTCTAGTTTATTTTGAGGGTTTAGTATTTCATCTAGAGTAGGAACCTTATTTAGATTGAGGTTGGTTTGTAGTGTGGTTCTGTGTGTTTGGTAGTGGGTGCAGTGGATGAGTGCGTGTTCTGTGGTTTCGGGTTGTTTGCAGTGGGGGCAGTTGCCTGTGGTGTGTCTTTTAAGTTGTTTTAGGTGGTTATTTAGGTTCGTGTGTCCTGTTTGGAGTTTTGTAATTAATCTGTCAATTTTTTTAGAGGGGTGAAGGATTTTAGGTTTGGCTAGTGGTTTTCTGAGCACTTTTTTGATTTGGCTATTTGAGTTTTGATATTGATTATGCCATTTTTTGGTTATTTTTTGTTTGTTTACACTTTTAATTTCTGATTTTGAGATGGGTAGGTTTAGGCTTATTTCTGGGATTTTGAGAGATAATTTAGCTGCTTTATCGGCGCTTTCGTTGCCGTAAATTCCTACGTGGGCGGGGATCCACAAGAAGGTTATTTGTTTGCCTGCTTTTGTTAGGTCGTTGGAGCTTTTAAGTATTTGGTTTATTAATTTAGGTCGTTTTTTGGTATTTTTGTTTTGGAGGGCTTGTAGTCCACTAAGCGAGTCAGTGAGAATTAGGATTTTTTTGTGGTTTTTTGATTGTTGGTTATGCAGGGCTGAGGCCATGCCCATAAGTTCGGCCGTGAATATAGATTGGTTGTTTGGGAGTCGGTAAGATTGTGTGGATATAACTGGTTGTGTGGTATGGACTCCGAAACCTGTGTGTTTGGAGATCGGGTCTGAAGATCCGTCAGTGTATATGTGACACCAATTTGGCCAATTTTCGTGTATGTATGAAAGTGTGGTTGTTTTAGCTATGTTTGGGTCGGTTTGTTTATTTATTTGGTTAGTTAGTGTTGTGTCTATTTGGGGTTTTTTGAGTTTAGGGGTGAAGATATTTGATTTTTTGCAGTTTTGTTTAAGATTTTGAGTTTTTGCTTGCATTATTAAACATCGTATTTATACCAACTTAGACATACGCTGAAAACAAACAACTATGTATTCCACATCACTGTTTATTGAGCAGCACTTGTAACAAGTATATAAACAATGTCATTCAAACACTAATTACATCCTGTGAATTGTCACTGCTGGGGTCAAGACAAGAGTTCTACTCACTTATATCATCACTTATCACACCTGCAAGTCCAGACAGACACCACCCACGCAACAGAGTGTCTTTGTTCTTTTGCGACTGCGTCAAAGGCTGACACGAGCCAGCTCGCATGTGTGGTTTGAGCCGAAGTAATATACTCAGCCCTAATAAGCGGTGCTATTTGGGGTGTGATTGGATTAATGTAAGGTTGGATTAAGGTGAGGATTCTCCTGTAAACCTGACAGAGGACATATTATTTAGATATAAATCCACTTATGCTTGAGAGGAGGGGGTGTCGCATTTATATTGAGTCACATTTTTGGCTAGGGGCCAGCAGTCGTATTCTTTTTTAGACGCATTAATTCCACAATTTACAGTACACTACTCAAAAGAAGCTAATGAACACCTGAATCTTTTTAATTACTATAGTTATTCTGTCATGGTGTTATGACAGCACTAAGAATAACCAAGGGTAAAGATATTAAAGATAAACATGATAAATAAAACATACTTGCATCAAATGTTTACTTGATTTTTGTACATGTTGTATGAGACATGGCTTTTGTCTTTTTCACATTTATCAAAAATAAGTTGAATTCTTATGAAAAGGAGAGTTGGTTACCATGGCCATGATGGCTGCACAGTCACTAACAACATTTGATATCAGACATTTTTTTCTTTACACCAGTGGGTGTTAGTCTTTTGAAACCCATTTCAGATAACTGTCATCAAACATGAGAGATTGAATTTCAGGGCCATGATGAGGCACTAAACGGTGCATTATTCCAAGGTCAGATAAAGACAGACTACTTTCCTGATTGCAATTCTTTGATAAGTGAAACATGCTTCAGTCAAATTCACCATGTCTGTGTCCAAACTTTATGGAGAGTGTTAATAAATATTCTTTGATTTTATCTGGCTTTCATTCTCATCATTGCCTTGATAATCCACAGATATGGCGGAAACCTTTTGTGGAGAGTCACACGAGGTTTGAGCAGTAAGTCAGATGGTGTCACTTATGACTTATGCGCCACTGTGATCATGAGAATAGACAAAATATGCATTAATTAGGATCTAAAATGGTTCAATTTTAGGGTTTAGATTACTGCACTGGTGCCTGTCATACCATATATGTTACAACTCAAAAATCATATGGTATCAGACAGCCTCTTGTGTGGTATATATAATGGCAGTCTAGAAAGTGACCAAATATTGTAGAAATCTTATGTATGAAGATAGAAAAAACAACAGTATCTCACAGGAGTCTTGGGTGAAATTCCAGATGGGAACTTGTAGGAGAACCCTGTGATCTTCACATCCAGTGTTCCCTTTTGCAGAAAACCAAATGTGCTGAGCGTGAACTGTTTTCGGTCATCATTCTGAAAAAGGGCCATCTAATTGTATTACATGTATCACATTCAACCCACTACATGTCCTGGAAACTTGAGGATGTCCACTGGTTTGTACCGTATTACCATGATTAAAGATTTTTCTAGGATTCCAAACTAAATGCCCTTGGTAGAAAAATTGGTAAAAACATCAGAATTGTTTAATTCTGTACAAAACTGGGACTTAAAGAATTCCTTGTTTTCATAAATTCAGGGTTTTATAAAATTTCGTTCAAAGCAAAAATATAAAACTAAACTATAATGCCTCTACTTGTTTATTGGTCCTGTTGTCAGTGACCAATGGAGAGCCAGAAGATCAGTCATAACTATAATCACATAACTTTATCATGTTTATGATACATCCTCCCTTCTGCTTCTGTTTATACATCCAGGAGAAAATAAAAATACCAAGCAACAGATACAAGGAAATGCTTTTACAATACGCGCATCGTGATGATAGCAAAACAAAATGTTTCTATGGTGACGTCATTTGGTTATGTTTTGTGGACGTGTTTGCAACAAGTGACTTGGCCTTGTAGTCTAAGGCTAGTGAGTGACACTTGTCTGAAAATGTAGGGTTACGGCCAACTATTTGTATTATGCAAACAACATAATAAGAAATGTCGCAGGTCATTTTCACGTTTCGATGCAATAAGTGAACCTGAAATGACCAGTGTGTATAAATATAATCTAATAATTTGCAGATAACACATCGCCACGGGCACAAGTCAAACTGTTTACAATCCGTTCGGTTGAATTTTCACCCCGAAACTGCATTTAATAGAATAGACATGCTTCAGAAAATGTAAACTATTACCACAAGATCGTATTTCAGTATTTTCCCGTAACACAAACTCAATGAGATGACGAAAACTAGCAGCTTTTTCATTTCGAGTCTGAATATCTTCGTCTTATGCTCCATGTTGGAACATATGACGTTTCCGGTCTGGTTGATTCGTTACAAATCATTCAACTGGCTGATAAATTTCTCCATTGGCCAATCAGAAAGTCGCTTACAAAAATTGTAAAATGAACATATCGTGTACATAAAGAGTACATATTACACAATGTACACGATATCGTGTAAATAACAGACAATTTATCACAATATGCACGATATCGTGTAAATAACAGACAATTTATCACAATATGCACGATATCGTGTAAATAACAGACAATTTATCACAATATGCACGACATCGTGTAAATAACAGAACTTTAACAATAATATGCACGATATATCGTGTAAATAATGAAACATTTACCATAATATGCACGATATCGTGTAAATAACAGACAATTTATCACAATATGCACGACATCGTGTAAATAACAGAACTTTAACCATAATATGCACGATATATAGTGTAAATAATGAAACATTTACCATAATATGTACGATATCGTGGGAATAACAGCACACGATACTCAAACGTTATGGTATCACGGGTTATATTATTCGATCTATCAGCAGCGATTACGAACATAATATCAACTCGCTATATATATATATATATGTTGCGGTTTATAGGCCTAGTATCTACACAGATCAACACATCGATGTTAGAACCAACAACACTGGTTTTTAATGATACTCGTTGATAAAATCGAATATAATAAATATTAAAAGCAATCATCTACTAGTATATCTATTTATATACAAATACATATTTAATCATTTACACATCTTATTTATTGGGTATATTTGACATTATACACATATTCAATGCAATTATAGTTATATTTCATACGTAGATACATACATGTATACATGTATCTAATCCAAGAATCGCTTACATTAGTTTGATTGTTTGAAGTATTTAGTATCAACATTTTAATTCATGCTGATGTTTCTTTTGAAATTCCAAACGTTCTTGATTTACATTATCGTATCAAAATTATCAAAATTTGGCTTGTTGATCCAAAAACTCTGAATTTGTGTGGATTTCAAAACTCAAAAATGTTTTTGTCACACACTATACGTATTCACAGGTTACTTTATAGTGTTTCCTGGGTTTAAGCGGAACTATAGATTTATATTAAATGTACGATGACACATTAAGTATTTATTTCAGTTTAGTTAGCTTGAATCAATTTATACTCTGTTTACATTATGATGCAACTCGGTACCACATAATACGTATTTGTCGACTTTCTCCATCTTGATCCGCCCTATAACAATAATGATCTACTTCATTGTGAACAGTATATACCATCGAGGAAGTTATGCGTAATATACTCGCAGTGACATTATACTTGAGCAAAATATCTAGTAGCGCACATGCATGGAAACGTGCACGCTGTTTTCAACAAATAACATCTTGTCAAGATTAGCAAAATGTAATCTAAGGGATTTTGGACGTTTGGGTCAACGCAAAAAAAGGTTTTACGCAACAGAAGTGCGGTCATCTTCAGCACCTTTCGATCGTAAACATATGAAACAAAATTCACATCATTGCGTAACAACCAAACTGAATATGCGTTCAACTTTCAAATTTAGAACGGAAATTTCTGCCAATTATGAAACGAACTCTAACATTGAAACTTCTATCTTCCAAATTAAGTAATGCTTTTGCGACATTTTTACTATATATGAAAACAATTAATTCAAAAAACATAAATAATACTTATGCCATGTAATTTAATATACTTTGTAGCGATTTAAATGATACCAAATATTAAAGAACATATCTCTCTACGACGATACGTTCATTATTTATCAATACATTGTACATTACGAACACAGCAGAAGCATATACATGTATACATATCTTATCGCTTGTGGGAATTTCATTATATCCTCTATATGCGCGTTTGAACTTTGAGCATGGGTTTGGAAAATTACTAATTTTTAAAAATGGATTCCAATTATTGAATGGATTGGCAAGTCATGCAGCAAATTGACATGATACTTTCAGACAGACAGTATGCAATACAAAATGTTTCAGCTTGCTTTGACAACCCCGATTGCATCAGTAAGGTACACGACTGAAGCGCACGTAAACACTTTCCAAGGGAGTTAACTCCCTTATCAGTATAAATAGCCACAGCTTTAACAATATCGAACTGATTGACTGCCTTATTTTAAAAATATCTTGTTTACATTTAAAATTCTGAACAATTGTTCGTAAACAATTGTTTCTAAACAATCAATAATTCTTACATACAAACATTACATTGTATTATTCATCATGGATTTCACCAAGATCGCAAGTTGTATAGACAGATTCTCTTCTGATGTGTATCTAGGAGTTATAGCAAAAGTATCCTGAACTTATCCATGGAGCATTCATTAACGATTTATATTATCTTTCGAATGTTAAATGCACATTTCTTGGTGTACATTTGATTTTAATTCGGCATAACTACATAGGAATCTTTATGTAGGCATTGAAACTGGACGAAACTCATTTTTTAAATGATACTTTCATTATCCTGGAACACATTAAAGATTAATATCTGTACATAAAAAACGTGAAGTTTAATCAAAATACTATTGTGCGAACACATTGCTACCACAAATATATTAACACATTTCATTTCTTATGTTATAGGCTTTTATGCAGGAAAATGTATTGGTATTTGTAAATAAAATCCCATTTCCTTTAGAACATTTCTCTGAAAGGATGGGGATTGCACAATAACAGCTCTACAAACAACATACCATAATTCTTTGCAATAACATTACATATATTCCGCTACAAAGCGTGATATACTTTGAATGTAAATCGCGACGCGGAAAATAAATGCTTGCTTCAGATTGCTTGCTCTTTTAGAGAAAGTTCGTAAATTTTGTTTTACCAGAAGGTTCGTAGTATTTTAATAGGGGAAATTATGTTTTGATTTTAATGGATTCAACAAAACTAAACTATAAATATTCTGGTTCGTAAAACTAGTATCTCATTAGGTAAAGTATGTTTACTCAAAATATTTATGATCTCTATGTTCACAACATGTCTGAACGACTGCAAAACTTTTAACTAACTGTGATACCTGTGTTTATATCTTCACAGATGTTTACAGAAGAAATTACGATTTTATCAACAAGTAAAGAATTTTTATTATCTTTGATATATCTTTTTAGAAATGATACCCGCACTATGGTGTAGAGTTAACGTGTTGGGGAGTAATACACAATGTAGCGTAGCGCAACTGAGACCGGGAACCAGGTTTGTTGTGTAGGAAATTAATAGACCAATCAGCGTTCGCGTCTCACGGCGGAGAAGGGAGTTTTTTCCAGACGTGTATATATTGCACGGCATTGCATGGTCCACTATTTGCACGATATCGTGTATATAAACGGTCCGCTGTGAATCTCATCGGGAATCTTTTCATTTCAAGTTTTTTTCTCCTAGTAATGTTTTCCATTTAATTATTAATCTAAATCCAGTGATTTATTGCCGTAATTCATACAATATCAGTTGAATATGTGTTTGTCATTTTGAGTACTCATCTCGTTATGTTTTTGAAATAAATAAATATGAGAGAGAATTATAGGGTTGGGGGTAGAGGGGGATAGTTTATTCTGAACTGTGTCCAAAATAAATAATTTGATGGCAGTGGTGGAAAAAATAAATGGTTTGTTTTGTCGAAAATACCCAAACGTCAATAGTTTTGTATTAAAAGTGAAAATGAATAGATTGTTATGGTGTTCGTTAAATAAATAGTTTGTCGGATGCTGCTGGGAAGAAAATAGATTGTTCTTCCAAACCCCCACCTTTCCTCTTCTGCTGTTTTCAAGGAAACTAGACTTGGTTTAGTGAATCAGTTTCATCTAGACTTTCCTAGACATTTAGTATTTATATGTTGTTGTTTTTTAGCCATACGAAATGAAGTTCAACCAAACAGTATTAGTATTGTGTTTATTATTAACAGATTCCTACACAATTACATATATTATTCGGGTACGAAAACTGGCAACGAAAATAAACTGTCAGTAATTTTGGCTCTAACAATACCTCCTTTGAGGTAATGTTCACGAACATTACATGACTATTTAGTATTTCTAATCACAAACCTGTCTGTATGGTATTGTGTCACATCGAAAGCTTTTGACACAGTTTAGTTAAAAGAGTTACGGGACCGACCATTTGGTATTGTTGTGGATGAGTGTTTGTTTGTTTGTTTGTTTATTGTTTAACGCCGCACTCAGCAATATTCCAGCTGACGGCGGTCTGGAAATAATCTGGAGCAGAAATTCCAGTGATTGACATCATGAGCATCGATCCACGCAATTGGGATAAGATGGCATGCATCAACCAAGTTGGCGAGCCTGACCTCCCGATCCTGTTAGTCGCCTCCTGTTAGTCGTTCCGACAAGCATAGTCGCCTTTCACGGCAAGCATGGGTTGCTGAAGACCTATTCAACCCCGGATCTTCATGTTTGTCGGTGTTATGTCATTAAGTGCAGACGCTACAAATGAAGAGTGCGTGAGTGAGTATGGTTTTACGCAGCTTTTAGCAATATACCAGCAATATCACGGCGGGGGACACCAGAAAATGGCTTCACACATTGTACCCATGTCGGGAATCGAACCCGGGTCTTCGGCGTGACGACAGAACACTTTAACCACTAGGCTACCCGACAGCCCCCTATAAATGAAGAGGTCAACAGTGATTTAACTTAGCTAGAAGACAAAGTACGTGATATTTATTCACCGTTACTCAGCCCAGGTGCCTGATGTGACTTTCATTAATCAACAATTGCGTGGATCGATGCTCATGATGTCAATGACTGGATTATCTGGTCCTTATTCGATTATTTACAGACAATGCTCCAGATTAGCTTCAAGTCTTGATCCCCAACAAATAACACTTTTACTCATTATAACTTTCGGAGCAGGTTTGGAACAACCGCTCTGCGGAAACCTTCCTATAGCAGCTATAGTGTATGTGGACTCGGCTTCAATCAGCAGTGTTTGTTTGTTGTGTAACGCCGCACTCAGCAATATTACAGCTATATGACGGCAGTCTGTAAATAATCTTGCCTGGACTGGAGAATCCAGTGATTGACATCATGAGCATCGATGTAAGCATTTGGATATGATGACATGCAAGTCAGCAAGCCTGACCACCCGATCGCGTTAGTCGCCTCTTGAGACAAGCATAGTCGCGTCTTAACATACTACCATTGTGCATGCATGCAGTATTCTAAAAAGCCGACTTATTCAAGGCAAATCTGCTAGAAAATCATATCTATAAATGTGGTTCCGATCTTAACAATATTCTATACATGCTATATGGCGAACCAATTTCAGGCTAAAAAAAACAGAGTCATTGAGTTCCTTATTGAATCTGTACATATACTATCGACTAAAAGATTTAAACAATTCATGCTTTTGTCTCCAATTATGTTTGTTGAAAGACTGTTGATTGCATGTTGTGATCTATTGATAAGACTGTATGCTCCTGGAGTTATTTGCCTATTGATTGTCCATATAACTGATTCGACAACCACGACGATGTCTATGAACGAAGTCGCATTAAGTATGACATTAACGCATTTTGAACGCATACGATTGGAACTAATAAATTACAATAGTAACTAGTTTTGCAATCGCCAATCTTCATGGTATTATGAAGTGTTTGTACATAATATCGATTTCAGGGATAAACCTAAAGATCTTTACACAAATGCATTCTCGTAAACCTTTATTGCATGCAAATACTTTTGCTTTAACGCGATGCATTGATCATGAAATTAACACAACAGAGTATGTGAGTATGGTTTAACGCCACTTTGAACAGTATTCCAGTTATATCAAGGTGTGTCAGCTTGGTGTGGGAGGAAAGCACAAAGTACTGCAGGTCTTAGATGTTTGCCACTTTGGTGGGTATTGTGCTGGCAAACCTAGAAATAATCGGGGCGAACAAAGATTCGAATAACAAATAAAGAACCCCGAGACCATAAAACTTACAACCAATGCAGAGACGGTTCCATGAACTTGAAAGTATGTGTGCTTTGTATGTGGTGTGTGCTTTGTATGTGGTGTGTGTGTGTGTGTGTGTGTGTGTGTGTGTGTGTGTGTGTGTGTGTGTGTGTGTGTGTGTGTGTGTGTGTGGTGTCTGTGGTCGGGTTTGTGTGATGTGTGCGCGCGTGCGTGTGCATGTGCGTGTGCGTATGCTACTATGAACTGATCAAGCATTTCCAACCATCCCTCCTACTATTTAATCCTGGGTAATTGGTTTGTTTATTGGCTTCCTCAGTCGTTAATCCTTCACCCACTGTAACAAATTCTACACCATGTTCATTATTTCGTCTTGCTTGATAACGGTATAATGATCTCTACCGAAACGTCGCTATTATATATTTATTGAGAAGTTGTTATCTATAATATTTTGGTCTACTTTGTCAATGCCTATCAAACAATTGACATATGCTAGGTCAAGCCTGTTAAGTATCAGTACTTTTACGCGTGCGTTTAACACAACTCACTCACACACTCTGAACTGTGACAAAACCTTTGTGTCAACTAGCTCAAACTTGTCTTGTGGCATTATCTTTAGTTGATGATACAAATATACTGATATGTGGACTATTATTTGCTGAACTTCCAGGACGAAAGAAGTTTCTATGGGCTTTGAGCATTGGTCTAGTATTGTTGAGGGAGCAGACTGAATGTCACTTATTCATACTTTATTATTCATGGCGAAGATGGAACTGGTATCACCTTAGCTGGCCAAAGACCTTGGTTTGATCCTTGTGGTTGAAACAAAAAGCAAAGTCTAATATTAGTGTCTTTGGATGAAAAATAAAAATCTGATAAAACCTAATGAACTTCAATAGAATTGAGTGAGTGAGTGAGTGAGTTTGATTTTACGCAGCTTTTAGCAATATTCCAGCAATATTACGGCGGGGGACACCAGAAATGGGCTTCACACATTGTACCCATGTCGGGAATCGAACCCGGGTCTTCAGTGTGACGAGCGAACGCTTTAACCACTAGGCTACCCCACCGTCCCCGGTGAAATGGAAATACAGGAGTTAACGTAACTCGACCCTCATTGGTTTTCTGTTTAAATTACGTTAAGCAAGTGTATATTATCTTTATACTCGTGTCTCGCAGTCAACATTCGCAAATATTTACACCAACCCCTACACATATTTTATTTGACGAATTGCCCAGAAGTTTAAAGCACATAACGCAGTAATTAAATGCTTGTTGTTGTTGTTGGTTTGTTGTTTAACGCCGCACTCAGCAATATTCCAGCCATATGACGGCGGTCTGTAAGTAATCGAGTCTGGACCAGACAATCCAGCGATTGACATCACGAGCATCGATCCACGCAATTGGGATCGATGACATGCATCAACCAAGTCAGCGAGCCTGACCACCCGATCCCGTTAGTCGCCTTTTACGACAAGCATAGTCGCCTTTTACGGCAAGCATGGGTTGCTGAAGACCTGTAATTAAATGCCTTAAGAAGACGACCATACAGCTGGAGTGAGTATGGTTATACACTGTTTTTAGTAATATTCCAGGAACCGGCTTCACACGATTTACCCATGTGGAGAATCGACGAGCGAACGCTTTAACCAGAGGGCTAACTACAGTTGCATTGACTTCCTATTCGGTATTACAGTAAAATAATCTATCATGTTCGATACAGTCATACATAATATATAATACGTAATGAGGTTGCATCTGTATTTAGTCAATCAATATTTTCCTTTCCGCGCTTAATTACCGTACATACATCAATAGTTAAGAAGAAAAGATAATAGTTTATCATGTCATTTCAAAACACTGCCTGTTTAGAAGCTGTTGGAAAGGGCTATACTGCGCGATGCTTAACGTGCTTGTATTAGGGTTCAGTTTCGTGAGCCTTGTGGGAGGGTATTGTCATCCTGGTGATATGGCGGGGAGGGTTGCAGGGGGTGCTTCCCTGTTCTATCAGTACCGCGGGTCAGACGTGTACAGGTGCGCTAGCGACTGTCTCAGCTTCAAAGTGTGTCAAGCCTTTGATCTGCGACGGAGCGACAGGGTGTGCTCCTTATACGCGAAGTCGACAAACGAAACGGAAGTGGTGATATATGACGACTACGTCTACGATGACATCAAGAACTGGTTACAGGTAAGCTGACAATGGTCATACTTCTGTATCAAACTCTTTGTTGTCTTGCTCAAATGTCAGATGGGTGATGGATGTGTGTTTTGGAATGAGAACGGGGATGGGGGTATGTTGGCTATCAGATGAAACCCGGGATGGATGGTTGTCGTGAGAGATTCTTGCTAAGGACAAAAAAATATTGCATAACTTAATATTTTTTAATATAATATATAATTCTCTGTTACGCATGAAGTGTTCCTCTGTCATATGTTCCCCTGCTACGAATGACGTGTTCCACTGTCATATGTTTCCCTGTTACGAATGACGTGTTCCTCTGCTACGAATGACGCGTTCCTCTGTCATATGTTTCTCTAGATCTGTTACGAATGACGTGTTCCTCTGCTACGAATGACGTGTTCCTCTGTTACGAATGACGCGTTCCTCTGTCATATGTTTCTCTGTTACGAATGACGTGTTCCTCTGCTACGAATGACGCGTTCCTCTGTCATATGTTTCTCTGTTACGCATGACGTGTTCCTCTGTTACGAATGACCTGTTCCTCTGTCATATGTTTCTCTGTTACGTATGACATGTTCCTCTGTTACGAATGACATGTTCCTCTGTCACATGTTCCTCTGTTACGAATGACGTGTTCCTCTGTCATATGTTTCTCTGTTACGTATGACATGTTCCTCTGTTACGAATGACGTGTTCCTCTGTCATATGTTTCTCTGTTACGTATGACATGTTCCTCTGTTACGAATGACGTGTTCCTCTGTCACATGTTCCTCTGTTACGAATGACGTGTTCCTCTGTCATATGTTTCTCTGTTACGTATGACATGTTCCTCTGTTACGAATGACGTGTTCCTCTGTCACATGTTCCTCTGTTACGAATGACGTGTTCCTCTGTCATATGTTTCTCTGTTACGTATGACATGTTCCTCTGTTACGAATGACCTGTTCCTCTGTCATATGTTTCTCTGTTACGCATGACGTGTTCCTCTGCTACGAATGAACTGTTCCTCTGTCATATGTTTCTCTGTTACACGTGAAGTCGTAGACTGACGTGTTCCCCTGTCACAATTGACTTGTTCCTCTGGTTCATGTTCATCTGTTTACGTGCAGTTTTCCTGTTTTCAGAAGGTCGCGGGTCAATGTGCAGGGCATTCCTGTCCTCCGCAGACGCGGTGCCGAGTCAGTAGGACCAATGTCCCTATCTGTGGTATGGGTGCTTATAGCTGCGGTTGTCGTACGCCTTTATCCGTTCACCATAGGTTAACAGTAATATTGGGTCTACGTATCGACCCATTAGAAATGTCTGCCAATGCTAAATGTTCACTGTTAATTTACCATCGGTTACCAATCATAAAATAATTTAAAACCTACATACCTACCCCTTACTAATCCTTACCCCCCAAGGCATATAATATAATTTATTTAAAAGTGAGTGAAAAAGGAAAACATATAGACCAGTTGATAATAAACGATGAACAGACGAGGTGAGGGATCACAACCCCACCCCACCCAACCCCACCCCACTCACCACTCCCTGGGTTCGCCTGTGCCTTAAACTGTCATTTGGAAATAGTTGGCCTTTCATTTTCGATATTTCATCAATCTTTTAAGAAATCGGATTAAATAATAAACATTATCTATGCTACTGAAACACAAACAACACAATTATGTAGTCCCCGTAATAAAAAATCCTTACATGTTACTTGTTTTCCAAAATATGCTTTGATGATTCTCAGAATACAAATCGTTGTTTTGACAGAGGACTGGGACCCTTGCCTTGTTCAAGGACGCACAAGGTACTGTCTTCGTTTGATCCCTCTTAAGAACAACAGAAGCTTGGCGACAGAGATTTGCGCTGCGCAGGGATGGCACCTGTCAACACTGGACACCGAGGAAAAGAATAAGCTTTTCAAAGTCTACATTGGAATAACTGGTTTGTTGACTTTTTATTGACACGCACAGAGCAGTTAGAGACCCATTACATTATATCTTTCAGTGGCATTTTAACATCATTGATTTTCCAGTGTGTCATGTCTCCATTCTTGTATCCTCGTTAGTTGGTTTGGCTCTGTTTTCCCCACAGCTGCATTGGATCTGTTAAGGGCCCGTCATTACATGATATTCCTACATAATGTACACATGAGCATTAATTAAGCACGGATATGTGCTACAATATAAAGTGACTGGTGTGGTTCATTATTGGAGGGGCGATGGGGTAGCCAAGTTGGTAGAGCGTTCGCTCGTCACGCCGAGGGCCCGGGTTCGATTCCCCACATGGGTACAATGTACGAAGCCCATTTCTAGTGTCTTCCGACGTGAATATAAAACACTATAAAACAATACTCACTCAGTTTGTAGGAGAACAATCGTTCTGCACACGAACCAGATACCACCCAACACCTGTGCCTTCAGCTAGAGCACCGTTTCTTTCAAACTACGGATAGCACCACGTGGTATAATGCTATGCATATTTACGAATCTTTATGGATATTTTGGCCATATATATCTTCGCTTGTCACGACCTTCGCATAAGTCAACACATCGACGAAGGCAATGTAACTATACGTTATCTGCAGAATCAATATGAACACTTTGGCCATATATAATCTTCACTTCGCTTGTCTCGACCTTCGGATAATTAAACAGATCGAATGCAGTGTTACGTTACAATACCTGCAGAGTATTTTGCAAAACCCCAACACAAACGGAGAGAGAGAGAGAGAGAGAGAGAGAGAAGAGAGAGAGAGAGAGAGAGAGAGAGAGAGAGAGAGAGAGAGAGAGAGAGAGAGAGAGAGAGAGAGAGAGAGAGAGAGAGAGAGAGAGAGAGCATCTACTCTTGATGCTGGATTCCCAACTATTAATCTTTATATACTTATACTCTGACACAAACATGGATACAACTAAATTAGAAACTGGAAATTCCCTTGATAATTGATTTTTACCTGTAGAACACATTTAAGAGAGAGTTTGTTAATTTTTTCCTAACATTTCAAATCCTGCCTCTTACGAAGGATTAGTCAACAAACATTGGATGTCCTGAGTACTGAGTTAACCCAGTTTTACTGTACTATACCATTCATTTTGCATTACAGAAAACAGCAACGTCAATGTGTTTGTAGCAGGCAACGAAGAGGATGGGACTTGGCTGTGGAGCAACGGTCGGCCGTTGGAATATGGTGACTGGACCCTCAGTCAACCAATCACAATCCGCAACAAGGAGAATTGCATCGTGGCGGGTGCTTTAGGCTGGAGATCTAGGTTATGCACAACTTACGTCAATCACGTGTTGTGCGACTTGACATATACTGTATGAATAGCATGTATATTCTATAGCCACCTTCAAAGGGGTTAGGTATGGTCCAGATTGGAAATAGATCAATTCAAGTTATTCAAAACCGGTTTTGTTTTTCAGTTAACATGTTTTTATCGTCCAAAACTGGCTCGCACAGGAGATATCGCTTGGGTGAGACACATGTCTACACAGATATACATATCATATACAACAACTTTTATGTGAGGAGTTGTTTGTTTTACTCTTGTGATTTTTGAACTCGACGTACCTCTAAAATCTGCTGACACCATATTTAAACATGTACTCATACCACTGGTGATAATAAAAATTAAATTGATCCATTGATTAGCTACATCTTGTTTTAATACTACATAGTAAATACATCTATGTCGACAATATGTTACCTGTTTGTCACTCATATTTTTTTTCAATATGTTGATCATTTGAAACATCCTAATCAAATTAAAACACAATATTTATCCACACTACAGATCGTGGGAGAGAGTGAATGTTGTGCAATGCTACAGTCAGCAATATTCCAGTGATAAACCCGTGAAGACCCGGGGTAGAATTACTGAGATTATGTTAAACACTACTGAGGTCAGCCGGTTTAACATAATCTCAGCTGTGTTTAACATGATCTCAGTAATAATGAACATAATCTCAGTAGTGTTTAACATAACCTCAGTTGTGTTTAACATAATCTCAGCAGTGTTTAACATAATCTCAGTTGTGTTTAACATAACCTCAGTTATGTTTAACATAATCTCAGTTATGTTTAACATAATCTCAGTTGTGTTTAATATAATCTCAGTTGTGTTTAACATAATCTCAGTATTGTTTAACATAATCTCAGCAGTGTTTAACATAACACCAGTAGTGTTTAACATAATTTCTGTTGTGTTTAACATAATCCAGTTGTGTTTAACATAATCTCAGTTGTGTTTAACATAATCTCACTAGTGTTTAACATAATCTCAGTTGTGATTAACATAATCTCAGTAGTGTTTAACATAATCTCAGGAGAGTTAAACAAATTATCTGTTTAGTCGTCCTCACCAGCAATCTCCTGAACGCCGAACACTGCGGAAGATTGCCAAACACTGCAGAACATTAACGTTATAGTAAGGTAATAGTAAAGTGTTCTCATATCAACGTCGTTATTAGTACTGTATATTTGTTTTAAAAAAATACATATCAAGATAACTGAACTGCCGGCTAAACGAAAGAATACACCCATGTTTGATGGTTATTAAAAATGCAACAAACGTTTTCAGCCAAGTTAAGTTTGATACCGTTTGTAACTTTTTGGTCAAATCCAACTTTCAAGTGTATACTTCATTTTACCAGGCAGTTTATGATCATTTCACAGATGACTGTATGGGTGATACAACTATATCTATAGGTGTAAATGTCGATCACCTGTCACTGGGATTCCGCTGGGCAGAGTTGCGTCCCTTGGGCAGGCCAGAAATAGTGGGTTCGAATCCCTGATTCGCCCTGATTACGTTTCTGGGTTTGTCAGCACCATCAGTGATAAACACGGTCACTGGTCTGCTAGTCCGAGACTAGTAAAATCTAGACACACCAGTTGTGATATCCGAAAATATTACATAACCAGAGAACTACTCGTGCTAAATAAACTGCGGACTAGTTTGATATGACCAATGGCGTGGTTTACTGCTTGGATGAGTGAGTGGGTGAGTGAGTTGGATTTAACGCCACTTTTAACAGTATACCATTTATATCACGTCGTGTCAGATTAATGTAGGAGGTAAAAGCCCAAAGTGATGTGTCGGTGAAACCCAATAGCACGGGTATGGTACTGACAAACCTTGAAAAATAATCGGGGAACCGGGATTCGAACCCACTATCATATGTTTCTGGCATGCCCAACGGACGCAACTCTGCACAGTGAATCGCGGCGCTTTAGGCGACTGGGCCACCCGTGCCCCCAACGCTTGGATGAAACCGACGAATATGGATATGGTCAGGGGTAGACAATGTCCATGCTCGTAGGTTTCACCCAAGTGGTAAACGTCTCATCTTCCAGTGGCAAGGGAGTTACCTGACTATAAAAGTCCAGTTCCCGAACAAGGCTGGAATTTCGTGGCACGATCATAGTGCCACCAGTGGCTTTTACGAGTTATGTCCCTTATGTGTCCCTCCTATTGACCAATCAGATTCCACCTCTCATATCCCTTGCATTTGCTTCAAATATAATGGCGGCGCTCAGTCAAGACGATCTGATCAAGTTAATCGAACATAAATTTCACATTTCCTGTCACAGAAACCCAGTGCATGTGGATTGTAGCACAACACTTGAGCACGTGAAAATGTTTCGAACATATCTGTCGGCGCCTCGTTGACGGTACACGTGTTTTGTAAACGCTGCAGTCGACCGAAATCGGTACGGCAGTCGCCTTGTTGTTTACGAACAGGAAGGCGATTTCGATTTTCGATTTTGATTAGACCATGCACAGACCCGTTAGTCCAGCCAAAACGTAACTCCTAAATTCAAGCCTAGTTTGGTAAGTGTGGAAACTGGACTTCTACAGTCAGTTAACGCCCTTGCCTCGCGAAGATGTAAACATCTAAGGCATGCATCACTTCGGGCTTTCTTCCCACGTCAAGTTGACAGTCCGTGATATAAAATTTTGCTCAAAGCGGCATAAAACACAACTCACTTACTGACTTTGATACCCTGTTTAGTATTTATGAATGAACAAAGAAGTTCCAAAAACCATTTTATGAATTGACCCGCCCGAGATCAGTGTTGTCCACTCAAATAAAAACCCACACTAGCTTATCAATTAACACACATATAGCGTAGGAATTCCATGAATTGACCCAACCGAGTTATCCAATCAAATCCAACCCAAAAGATATCAACACGCATGACACAGGTGTGGCGTAGGAATGAATGTCACCACCTGTCTCTCGACCACGTGGGTTTTACATGTAAATAGCGACTTTTCTCAGCTCAGCTGTTTGGTATAAGAAAGTCACACAACATACATTGCTTTAAAAATCTAATAGTTATATAAATATCTTTCTCTCACAAATGCTGAATCCGTTTGTGCAAAACCGCATGTGCATGACCCGGATGAAAGGCGTGACCATAGACTGTTATATATGATGACCCGGATGAAGGGAGTGACCATAGACTACTATAGAACAGTTGACATTTCACACCAAGGTGTGCCTTGAGAATATCTTGATCAGGAATTCACTATCTAATACACTAGCGGGCACTACAATTGTCAATGCTATTTTCACTCAAGATTTCCTGATATTGTTTCAAGGATTGTCAGGTTCGGTCGTGTAGCCTAGTGGTTAAAGCGTTCGCTCGTCACACCGAAGACCCGGGTTCGATTCCCGTACAATGTGTGAAGCCCATTTCTGGTGTCCCCCGCCGTGATATTGCTGGAATAAAGCGGCGTAAAACCATATTCACTCTCTCAGCACCATACCCATGGTCGTGGATTTTAGAAACGTGACAAACACCAGAGACCTGCATCACGGGCTTAGCTCCCATACTAAGCTGACACGCCGTGACATACCGTATTCGACGTAATAAGCGCCCCGCTCTAATAAGCGCCCACGGCGATATTTGCTAATATACTGGCTAGTGAACAATTCCAATTAGCACCCCTTCTGATTGATAAATGTACACAAGGCTATTTATTCGTGCATAATACGTTTGTTATATGCACCCTTAATTATGGGCAATTAATTTCTGGAAAAATATATCTGTCGTTTATAAACATTTCGGCATAAACCACGAAATTTACGCTCTCTGAACTCAAAAATATATATTCTAAGAGCCCCCTATTTCTAATTTTGAGAGCGCCCTGGGCGCTTATTATGTCGATACGGTAACTGGAATTAAGTCTCCGCATCACTTTGAAAGTATTCGCACGAAGGAAACGCGGTGCACTTTGAAGTTTCCTGTTGTTTTACTTGTGTTTATTTTAGGGATTAAGATTGAGGGGCGGTGTCAAAAACGGACCTGCGCTCGACTGACGTGATTACTGAACTTCGTTCACTTTACCTTAATATACACTCACCGTGTGCAACACTTGAACCGTGAAAACATTAACGTATATAATTTATATCATTTAGAGTTAGTGAGTGAATTGGGTTTAACGCTGCTTTGAACAGTGTTCCAGTTATATCACGGTGTGTCTGTCAACTTAATGTGGGAGGAAGGGGGCACGGGTGGCCCAGTCGTCTAAGGCGCCGCGATTCGCTGTGCAGAGTTGCGTCCCTTGTGCACGCCAGAAACCTATGATTGTTGGTTCGAAACCCGGTTCGTCCCGATTATGTTTCTAGGTTTGTCAGCACCATACCCATGCTCGTGGGTTTCACCGAAGTGGTAAACGTCTGAGATCTGCATCACTTCGAGGTCCCCCCCACCCCATGTGTGAAGTGGGCACAATGTGTGAAGCCCATTTTTGGTGTTCACCGCCGTGATATTGCTAGAATAGTGCCAAAAGCGGCGTAAAACCATACCCTCTCAATCGTTTGTCAAGAGCCTCATCTTCCAGATGGCATTTATCATTACCTTCATCACATTTCAGACTGGACGCGAGTGATACCATATTGTTAGACATATATGGTCGAAAGAAAACGGGCGGTGGTGGGTGGATGGTGGGTGGATGGTGGATGGTGGGTGGTGCATAACTGATTTCCAGGTGTATATAAAATAGAAACTATTATCCATAATAACCCTCCTTGTCATTTTCACATCCAACCTCTAAATGTCTATAAAGACTGGACAACTTCGAAGTATTCCATTTCGAATGTTGGTTAAAAGACAAGGCGAGAGCGAGATAATTTGAAAATTGCTGGTTTTACTGTGAATGCATCTTTCCCAATGCCTACACGTATAACTGTTGAAAAAAAAAGAATAAACTTACCGAATCAAATAGGTGAGATTAAACATCACGCTTCGCATTCTCCCTACTGAGTGAAATTAACAATGATCAAACAATGCTCAAAACGAAACATTCGCTCCAACTCTTCTCAGTTACATACGCGGGCGTGGACCGATGCTCATGATGTCAATCACTGGATTGTCTGGTCCAGAGTCGATTATTTACAGACCGCCGTCATACAGCTGGAATATTCGGGAGTGCGGCGTTAAGCAACAAATAAACAAACAAACAAACATACGCGGACGCAGGGTGCGCATTTCTCCCCGTTGACGTATACTTTTTATTCAACTAAATCATCTGGTAACATGTTTCTAAACAAAAACAGCAATAAAATGCTTTCCGAATGATATGCCAGCACTTTTGTATTTATAGTGCTCCCCTCTTGTCCCCAAAAGTCGTGATTCCCTCTTACCAGTTAATGTTCGTGCGTGCGTGCGTGCGTGCGTGCGTGCGTGCGTGCGTGCGTGCGTGCGTGCGTGCGTGCGTGCGTGCGTGCGTGCGTGCGTGTATTCTGCACTGTACATATATCATGTACAATCTTTATTCACAAATGTACTATATTTCGTACGGAGGCACGCACGAACGCCCGCACACACGCACGAACGCCCGCACACACGCACACATACATATATCACAATGTAATGAAATGTATGTAGACAACCTCGTAAAAGCTTATGCCAAATCCATTTGATTTTCTCGCATACAATATTAATGAAACAACTTGTCAAACAGATTCGTGTGCTAGCGGACTTGTAATAAGATGATGAAAAATTGAGGAGACATGTAACAAAACTGAACCACACATTATAAGCATAATTTACATAACATTTGCCATGGCTTTTTTTAAATTTTATCCACCACTCCCTAAAATAAAGATTTTGAAAGTTCCATGTATGCATATATATTGTAAAACCTACATATATGAATCATACAATAGAGGTGACAATAATTGTGAGCATGGGTACATGTAATTGAATGGTATAGACGTTCAGTTTAGTTCCTGTCGCTCTGGTTTTTATCTAAGATAAGTCCTATTGACGACCTTTCTTCTTATCAATCGGCCTATCCGAGGAGAATGTCTATATAAATACTCGTGGCTGAAGTATCACTCCTTGCAGAAAACCATCTGGCCAAGGTGAGTACATTGTTTTGAAAGGCGATTCACTGGATTAAAAAATATAAGTCCATAAAAAGAAATGAACCTTCAATGGCAAAAACCTGAATTAAAATTGAACTTAACTGTAAAATATACCTGAAATGGTTTTACAAACGAATATCGAAAATATATAATATTTTCTATTCTCTGATTACATAATCCTTAAATTAGAAAAAAGAATATCGTTCACATACATCACTTTTATTAACATCCAGTAATTGAAATGAAATAACAATGAGATGACCCCAAGCAATTATTTTTCAGTTTTAATATTATTTATTTTCCAGCGTGATCTTGCACAATGAACTGTCTGACTGTTATCTGTTTGTTCGTGGGAGCCAGTTTGTCCTCGGCTCAGTAAGTAAAACGGTTTTTCCTTCTATTCGGATTGATCATTTGTGTCTAAATGTCAGGTCGATAGGTCTAAAAAAATAAAAATGAAAAATCCCTTTTAAAATAAAAACTGCCTTGCAAAGAAAAGTACACACCCAGGGTTGATGGTGGCTAGACTTGAAATAATAGATATGTTTATTCGAAGGTCGTGTATTTGATATGTTTTGTATGTTTGTTGTTTAACGCCGCACTCAGCAATAATCCAGCTATATGACGGCGGTCTGTAAACAATCGAGTTTGGTCCAGACAATCCAGTGATTGATATCATGAGCTTCGATCTACGCAGTTGGGATACGATGACATGCATCAACCAAGTCAGTGAGCCTGACCACCCGATCCCGTTAGTCGCCTCATACGACATGCATAGTCGCCTGTTTCCGCAAGCATGGGTTCCTGAAGACCTATTCTACCTCAGATCTTCACGGGTTGCATTTAATATGGACATCGTAGGCGATACTACATCCATCATATCCATGAGATTCTCATACCAGAGAAGTCCAGTAACGTTTTGATAACGTGTAATTTTTGGTTCGAATTCAATTTTTAAGTGAATACTTTCTTTTGCTGGGCAGTTTATGGTTTCTATTCCTCTCGCGATTTGTTATAATTGTTTTGACGTTTTTTAGATACATTCTAAACACTCAACTCCCCTAAACGTCTGCTGAACTTGACAGGTATTTGTCGTCATGTGAAAAGATACAGGGTAGCCTTGCTGACAATACGGGGCGGTCGGGTAGCCTAATGGTTAAAGCGTTCGCTCGTCACGCCGAAGACCCGTGTTCGTTTCCCGACGTGGGTACAATGTGTGAAGCCCATTTCTGGTGTCCCCCGCCGTGATATTGCTGTAATATTGCTAAAAGCAGCGTAAAACCATACTCACTCACTCACTCACTCATGACAATACAATTGTAATTGTTGTACGCGTATTGCAACAGTGTCTCAGCTATGTTTCAACATAATATCAGCAGTGTCCTGACATAATCTCAGTAGTGTTTAACATAATCTCAGTAGTGTTTAACATAATCTCAGTTGTGTTAACATAATCTCAGCAGTGTCCTGACATAATCCAAGCAGTGATAAAACAAAACTTCAGTAGCGTTACACATGGCCTCAGTAGTGTTTAACATAACCTTAGCAGTAATAAAACACAACTTCAGTAGTGTAACACATGGTCTGAGTAGAGTTTAACATAATCTCAGTAGTGTTAAACATAATCTCAGTAGTGTTTAACATAATCTCAGTAGTGTTTAACATAATCACAGTTGTGTTTAACACAATCTCAGTTGTGTTTAACATAAACTCAGTAGTGTTTAACATAATCTCAGTAGTGTTTAACATAATCACAGTTGTGTTTAACATAATCTCAGTAGTGTTTAATATAAACTCAGTGGTGTTTAACATAATCACAGTTGTGTTTAACATAATCTCAGTAGTGTTTAACATAATCTCAGTTGTGTTTAACATAATCTCAGTAGTGTTTAACATAATCTCAGTTGTGTTTAACATAATCTCAGTAGTGTTTAACAAAATCTCAGTTGTGTTTAACATAATCTCAGTAGTGTTTAACATAATCTCAGTTGTGTTTAACATAATCTCAGTAGTGTTTAACATAATCACAGTTGTGTTTAACATAATCTCAGTAGTTTTAACACAATCTCAGTAGTGTTTAACATAATCTCAGTAGTGTTTAACATAATCTCAGTAGTGTTTAACATAATCTCAGTTGTGTTTAACATAATCTCAGTAGTGTTTAACATAATCTCAGTAGTGTTTAACATAATCTCAGTAGTGTTTAACATAAACACAGTTGTGTTTAACATAATCTCAGTAGTGTTTAATATAAACTCAGTAGCGTTTTAACATGATCTCAGTTGTGTTCAACATAATCTCAGTTGTGTTTTACATAATCTCAGTTGTGTTTAACATAGTCTCAGTCTGCTAGTGTTTAAAGTGTTTTAAGTATCCCCAACAGCCTTTAACATAACGTCAATTGTTTTTGGCATAATTTCAGTTGAGTTGTAGGCTGGTTGAGTTTATTACGTGGGTTAGTGAGTGAGTAGGCTGATTGAGTTTATTGGCAGGGTTAGTGAGTGAACAGGCTGATTGAGTTTATTTGGTGGGTTAGTGTGTAGGCTGATTGAATTTATTGGTTGGGTTAGTGCGTGAGTAGGTTGATTGAGTTTATTGGGTGGGTTAGTGAGTGAGTAGGTTCATTGAGTTTATTGGGTGGGTTAGTGAGTGAGTAGGCTGGTTGAGTTTATTGGGTGGGTTAATGAGTGAGTAGGCAGATTGAGTTTATTGGGTGGGTTAGTGAGTGAGTAGGCAGATTGAGTTTATTGGATGGGTTAGTGAGGGAGTAGGTTGATTGAGTTTATTGGGTTGGTTAGTGAGTGAGTAGGCTGATTGAGTTTATTGGATGGGTTAGTGAGTGTGTAGGTTGATTGAGTTTATTTGGTGGGTTAGTGAGTAGGCTGATTGAGTTTATTGGATGGGTTAGTGAGTGAGTAGGTTGATTGAGTTTATTTGGTGGGTTAGTGAGTGAGTAGGCTGATTGAGTTTATTGGCAGGGTTAGTGAGTGAGAAGGCCGATTGAGTTTATAAGGTGGGTTAGTGTGTAGGCTGATTGAAATTATTGGGTGGGTTAGTGAGTGAGTAGGCTGATTGAGTTTATTGGATGGGTTAGCTAGTGAGTAGGCTGGTTGAGTGTATTGGGTGGGTTAGTGCGTGAGTAGGTTTATTTGAGTTTATTGGGTGGGTGGGTGAGTGAGTGAGTAGGTTGATTGAGTTTATTGGGTGGGTTTGTGAGTGAGTAGGCAGATTGAGTTTATTGGGTGGGTTAGTGAGTGAGAAGGCTGATTGAGTTTATCGGATGGGTTAGTGAGTGAGTAGGTTGATTGAGTTTATTGGGTGGGTTAGTGAGTGAGATGGCCGATTGAGTTTATTGTACGGGTTAGTGAGTGGGTAGGCTGATTGAGTTTATTGGGTTGGTTAGTGAGTGAGTAGGCTGATTGAGTTTATTGGATGGGTTAGTGATTGGGTAGGCTGATTGAGTTTATTGGGTGGGTTAGTTAGTGAGTAGACTGATTGAGTTTATTTGATGGGTTAGTGAGTGAGTAGGTTGATTGAGCTTATTGGATGGGTTAGTGAGTAGGCTGATTGAGTTTATTGGATGGGTTAGTGAGTGAGTAGGCTGATTGGTTTCTTTGGGTGGGTGAGTGATTGGGTAGGCTGATTGTGTTTCTTGGGTGGGTTAGTGAGTGAATAGGCTGATTGAGTATATTAGGTGGGTGGGTGCACGTGAGTGAGTGGGATGGGTGAGTTTATTGGGTGGGTTAGTGAGTGAGTAGGCTGAATAATTTTATTGGGTTGGTGAGTGAGTGAATAGGCTGATTGAGTGTATTGGGTGGGTGGGTGAGTGAGTGGGGTGGGTGAGTTTATTGGTTGGGTGAGTGAGTGAGTAGGCTGATTGAGTTTATTGGGTGGGTTAGTGAGTGAATAGGCTGATTGAATGTATTGTGTAGGTGGGAGGGTGGGTGAGTGAGTGGGTTTGATGAGTTTATTGGGTGGGTAAGTAAGTGAATAGGCTGATTAAGTTTGTTAGGTGGGAGGGTGGGTGAGTGAGTGAGTTGGATGGATGGGAGGGGTGAATTTAGGGGGTTAGTGAGCGGGGTGGGTGAGTCTATTTGGGGGTGGATGGGATGGGTGAATTTAGGAGGTTAGTGAGTGGGGTGGGTGGGTAGATGTTTTATTGAGGGCATTATATGTGAATTCCGATAACTTTCATGACAGTTTCTAAACATTTGCGTCATATTGGAATTGTTATAATGTTTTCCAGAACTATCGACTTGAGGCCCTATGACATCACTGCCCAGAATCTCTTCACTGTCAATGACGTTGATAAGGACCAGGAAATGTCCCATTCTGAACTGGTCCTGTCCTTCAATGGCTACGATGCTAACTGTACGTATGTGTTTGTATTTGTGTTTGTTTGTGTTTTTGATAATTTTAAACGTTTTCTCATTGTTTTTCTAATTCACAAATTCAGGGGTCTAAATGCCCGAATAATATTGGCTTGTTTGTTGTAAACGGCGCAATATGCAATATTCAAGCTATGTGACGGCGGTCTGTTAACAATCGAGTCTGGACCAGACAATCCAGTGATTGGGACCATGCACATCAGTCCACGCAATCAACTAAGTCACCCCGTCTGACCACCTGATCCGTTTAGTCGCCCTGTACAACCAGCATAAGTTGTTCGAGAGTTGTATATCTTAACCCGGAATCCCCAGGGGATGCTTGTATATTAAATAATACCACTTCCTCATTGGAAAGCAATGCTGACCAGCTCGGGTAAACTTGCCATTTGTTGCTGTTATTCGCTCGTCTCTAAACTCACCATTATACTTACAGTTGACGGTGTAGTATCACGTGAGGAATATACTACGTATACCACTCACCAGAATCCCGCCATGTTTGTTCTCACGCATGCGCTGTACGACATCTACGACAGTGACAAGAACGGAGTTCTGACAGAGTATGATTACGAGCAGCTGTACAAGTTGTGGGATGGAAACGGTGGGTGAAACTTATTCCTTTATCGTATTTAACTATAATCTTTGGATTTGAATAATGGGATTCTGATACCGATAAAGGCTATGATCTACGGTATAATGCCTCTTGCTAGGTCCAGCCTGCCCGCCCTCCTGTCAAATTATAGAAGAAACAGCGCACAGCTTGCTGCGCGAACCAACAGTGGAACCAGTTTTGTGTAGCTTTAGCTGTGTAATGAAGGCTATCATTAACTGATTGATTGATGACGTCGAGCGTCTACCTCTACAGCGGAAGATCGGTGGTTCGATCCCCGGCCGTGTCATACCAAACGACGTTAGGAAGACGGTACTTGTTGTTTCCCTGCTGGGCTCGTCATTAAGGGGCTAAAACAAAGACAGGTCGGCTTGGAGTCAGTATGCTGTGTCTGTGTGGGGTATTTACGTCGCTATATGATCTTTAACGCAACCTTTAGACCCCATTCACTTCACTGGTGTTCTATTGTTTCAGAAAATGGAATTGTGAGCGAGTTGGAGTTTGTTCACTGGTGGACAGTTGTAAGTAGTGATTCGTTCTGTTGGAACATTTTCAGTGGATAAAACCCAAACACCATGCACACTCGAAAATATAGTTATCCTTAGTTAAGCGGGTAAAATAATAATTCTGATTGCGGTGTCAAGGCCGTAAAATTCCATCATTGACAATATTTTAGAGTTAATGAGGCTTCAAGGCAGGCGACCAAGAGATATTTTTAGCATTAGCTTTAGTGCTAAAGTTTGTACAATTTTGATTCTGAGTGAGTTGGGGTTTACGCCGCTTTGAACCTTATTCCAGTATTTTTCGCGGCGTGTCAGCTTAATGTGGGAGGAAAGCCCGAAGTGATGCAGGTCTTAGACGTTTGCCACTTTGGTGAAACCCACGAGCACTGGTATGGTGCTGACAAACCTAGAACCAAGATCGGAGCGAACTGGATTTCGAACACACCATAATATGTTTCTGGCCTGTCAAAGGGACGCAACTCTGCACGGCAAATTGCAGCGTCATGGACGACTTTGTTGTTGCCTTTGTTTCTGAAAACTCATGTGTCACATGTCTTCAACTCGTTTTTATACAATCTCATTAAAATCAGATCTTAGTTCTCGCTATCGTTAAACAAAGATCTGAGGACATCACATTACGGGTCACGTCAGAACAACCTTTCATCCAACCAATCAGAGCGTCGCTTACCAGATCATGAAAGTGACGACGGAAGGTGTTTTCTATTCATGCAACCTCGGAATATTTAACTGAGGGTAATTCGAACGACAGTTACGGGTTTTATGATTATATCCATACAATCTAGGCCATCTATAAGCCATTCAAGAATGTTCTTTTGTCAGTTTTAAGTTTTTTAATCGAGAATACGTCAAAATATGTTTCGAAGCGTAGTCGCCAGTTTGAAACTTGTGTCGTAAAGCTCGAGAAAGCTGCCTTCTGATTGGCTAATGTCGATTTCTTGTCAGTCATTTCATAAGTCGGTCAAAAATCGCGAAAGGTCGTTCTGACGTGACCGGTAATGGGATGTCCTGAGATCTTTGTTTGGCGGTAGCAAAAACTAAGATCAGATTTTAATGAGATTGGTTTTTATATTACCTGTTTTTGTATGTAATCCCTTCTGTTTTGTATGTCCGAGCAGACACTGACGTCACTTGATCACCTTCATCACCCTGACGCCACTTTCGCTCCATCCCCGGCCACCAAGTAGGTCCACCAAGTGACCAGAGCTGGCAACACGCAGTGTTGTCGTGATGGAAGGACAATCGTTGTAATAAAAACAATTAAACACATAAAATAGAAGTTTACTCTTTGAGACATCCATGAGCAATATCCTGCCCTGTGACCCAGTGTGTGGATGACCTGGTGTTATGCTGCATTATTCGTCGTTCTTGTGTCCTGTCCGTTGAAAGCATTTACATGCTTGATACTCCCGGGATAAACCGAATGTTGACTAAATGCTGTCTTTGTAAGCAGCCTAACTTTCCACAGATATTCTCTGTCTTGTTTGAATTGTGGAAAGTTGTGACTGACAAACAAGACACTGACTGGTCACTGAAGGGACATCGACACCTATATAGACTGAACAACTTCGAAGTATTCCATTTCGAATGTTGGTTAAAAGACAAGGCGAGAGCGAGATAATTTGAAAATTGGTGGTTTTACTGTGAATGCATCTTTCTCCATGCCTACACGTATAACGAATTTTTTATATAGAATCGAATAGGTGAGATTAAATATCACGTCTCGCGTTCTCACTACTGTGCAAAATATACAATTATTTGACAATGCGAGATATTTTATATGTGTCAAACTGTCTCTGTGAACGTACTAAAGACACAAGATTGCCGAATGGTGGCCGAATATCGCGTTCTCTTTAACGGGCACTTCGACTTTATACTCTAGTACCAATAGGTCGATATTGCGAAAATGCTCAAAACGTGGGTCGATGCTCATGATGTCAATCACTGGATTGTCTGGCCCAGACTCGATTATTTACAGACCGCCGTCATATAACTGCATAATTGCTGAGAGCGGCGTTAAACAGCAAATAAACAAACAAAAGCAATACATTGCTTTCCGAATGATATGTCAGCAGTTTAGTATTTATACTGCTCCCCTCTAAGTTAATGTGCGTGCGTGCGTGCTTGCGTGCGTGCGTGTATTCTGCACTGCACAATCTTTATTTACAAATGTACTATATTTCGTACGTACGCACGCAAGCCCAAACACCCACACGCCCGCACGCCCGCACGCCCTCACGCACACACACATGGATTTTGGAGCGTTCCGTAAATAGTGTTATACGAGGTATGTATGTATGTATGTATGTATGTATGTATGTATGTATGTATGGATGGATGTATGGATGGATGTATGTATGGATGGATGGATGGATGGATGGATGGATGGATGGATGGATGGATGGATGGATGCATGGATGCATGCATGCATGCATGCATGTATGTATGTAAGAACTGCAACTGTGATGTTATTATTGCCTTTGTATCATACCATCTTGTGAACCTACCCATTGAAATCACCAAAAATGGACAAAACTGGCTATAGGGCAGTCATCAAGTACCTGCAACTGAAAGGGCTAACTCAAACACAGATACATGCTGACATGGTCTCAACTTTAGGGGATGATACCCCTTCCTTTTTCACTGTACAGAAGTGGGCTGCGGAATTCAAGCGTGGCAGAGAGAGCCTTGACGATGACCCGCGTCCAGGAAGGCCTTCAACAGCAACCATTCCGGAAAACATTACCCGGGTGCATGACATGGTGATGGTTGATCCACGATTGACCACTCGACATATTGCCAGTGTTGTGGGCATCTCTCATGAGAGGGTTGAGCACATTATCACCAACGAGTTGGGAATGACAAAAGTTTCTGCAAGATGGGTGCCAAAGCTCTTGACAGCGGATCAGAAACGTGTCAGATTCCTGACGTCCCGTGACAATTTATGCCGTTTTGAAGCAGATCCCGATGATTTTGGCCCGATTTGTAACCATGGATGAGATCTGGATTCATCACTTTCAACCAGAAACCAAAATTCAGTCTAAACAATGGAAGCATCCGGATTCACCACCCCCCCCCCCCCCCCCCCCCCCCCTGCTGACCTACTGAGACAGTTGCGTGAAGCTATCAAAGCTAAGCGACGGGGAATGCTCACTAAAAGAAGTCCTGTTCCACCAAGGCAATGCTCCTGTTCACAAATGGGTGGTTGCCATGTCAGCGATCCATAATTGTGGCTTCAAACTCATTGACCATCCCCCTTACTCACCCGATTTGGCCCCGTCAGACTTCCACCTGTTTCCCAAAATGAAAAAGGAACTAGCCGGTCGCCATTTTCCTAGTAATGATGACGTCATTTCCGCTGTGAATGACTTTTTAAGGGTGGCTGAATAAAATTTCTTCTTGACCGGCATCCAGGCCTTGCAGCATGGCTGGCAAAAGTGTGTAAACATGGAAGGAGACTATGTGGAGAAGTAAATGAAAACCATCGACTTGGTACGGGTCTTTCACAGTTAGGCTTAGAACTTTTCAGCCAGCCCTCGTATTTATATATATTGTCACCCCTACACATATGAATCATAGAATAGAGGTGACAATAATTGTGAGCATGGGTACATGTAATGGAATGGCAAAGACGTTCAGTTTAGTTCCTGTCGCTCTGGATATTATGTAAGATAAGTCCCATTGACGACCTTTCTTCTTATCAATCGGCCTATCCGAGGAGAATGTCTATATAAATACTCGTGACTGAAGTATCACTCCTTGCAGAAAACCATCTGGCCAAAGTGAGTACATTGTTTTGAAAGGCGATTCACTGGATTAGAATTGTAATTCCATAAAAAGAAATGAACTTCGTATAAAATGGTTTAACACAACGATTATGGAATATACATGAAAATAGAAAAAAATCAAGAGGAAGTATATCGTTTACACATATCACGTTTATTAACACCAAAAAAAGGAAATGAAATGGTAATGAAGGGACCTCAAGCAATTATATTTCAGTTTAAATATTATTCATTTTCCAGCGTGATCTTGAACAATGAACTGTCTGACTGTTATCTGTTTATTCGTGGGAGCCAGTTTGTCCTCGGCGCAGTAAGTGTAAAGGGTTTTTCATTGTTTTGGGTTGACGATTTTTGCCTAAATGTCAGGTGGGCAGAACAAACAAAATAATATTTAAAAAAATTCCTTTTCAAATAAAGAGTGCCGGACAAAATAAGTATTCATCCAGGTTTGATGGTGGCTAAAACTGAAACTAACAGAAATGTTTATTCGATGGTGGTGTATTTAATACGGGCATCATAGGCGATATTACACCCGCCATGGCAATGAGTTTCTCACAACAGATAAGTCTAGTAATGTTTTCATAACGATTGTCATGTTTTGCTTGAATGCAATATTTATGTGTATACTTTCTTTTGCTTGGCAGTTTATGTTGATTGGTTGGTTATAATTGTTGTGTTTTGAAGTTTTTAAGAAAGTAGCTTTCTCGAGCTCTACAGCACTCGGTTCAACCTGGCGACTTCTATTTCAGACTACGCTTGAAAAATATGTCGACACAGTTCTCGATTAAAAGTTTGAAAACTGATCAAACGAACATTCCGGATTGTCTAATATATGGTTGAGATTGTAGGGCAGTGCTTTCCACGTACTGTGTAACGCTTCCTCCGTTCAAATGTTTATCCCACGGAAGCGAGAGATAGACGATAATTTTGACGGAATCAACTCTTCGGGCCGTAACTGTAGTTCGAAATACCCCGTGTTAACGTTTTCGAGGTTGCATGATTTGAAAACACATTCCGACTGTCACTTTCATGATCTGGTAAGAGACGCTTTGATTGGTTGGATGAAAGGTCGTTCTGATTTTACGCGTAATGGAATGTCCTCAGATATTTGTTTAGCGATAGAGAGAACTAAGATCTGACTTTAATGAGATTGGAACAGTTTGCGATTGGCAGGGAAGTTACCTTAGTACATAGTTTACTTACCTTAACCCATTTCTAAAATTATTGATATTAGTGAGCTTTATCGAAGGAGTGAGAGGGATGGATGACTTAACTGGGTGGGTGGGTGAGTTTATTAGGTGAGTTAGTGTGTAGGTTGAGTTTATTGGGTGGGTGGGTGAGTTTATTTGGTGACATAGTGTGTAGGCTGATTGAGTTTATTGGGTGGGTGGGTGAGAGAGTGGGGTGGGTGAGTCTATTTGGGGGTAGAAGGGATGGGTGAATTTAGGGGGTTAGTGAGAGGAATGGGTGAGTTTATTGGATGGGTGTTTTTATTGAGTGTATTATATGTGAATTCGACAACTTTTATGACAGTTTCTAAACATTTGCGTCATATTGGAATTGTTATAATGTTTTCCAGAACTATCGACCTGAGGCCCTTTGACATCACTGTCCGGAATCCTTTCACTGCCAGTGACGTTGATAAGGACCATGAATTGTCCCATTCTGAACTCGTCCTGTCCTTCAGTGGCTACGACTCTAACTGTACGTGTGTGTGTGTATGTGTGTCTGTGTGTGTGTGTGTGTGTGTGTGTGTGTGTGTGTGTGTGTGTGCGTGCGTGCTTGCTTGCGTGCGTGTGTGTTTTGATGACATTGATAGTTTTCTCATTTTATAGAATTGACAAATTCAAGGGGGCCTAAATACCTAAATAATATTGGTTTGTTTGTTGTTAAAGTCGCACTCAGCAATATTCCAGCTTTGTAACGGCGATCTGTTAACAATCTAGTGACTGGCATCATGCACATCAGTCCACGCAATCAACCAAGTCACCACGTCTGACCACCTGATCCATTTAGTCGCCCTTACGACCAGCATAAGTTGTTCGTGGCCTTTGTATCCTTACCCGGAATCCCCAGGGGATGCTTGTATAATACCACTTCCTCATTGGACAGCAATGCTGACCAGCTCGGGTAAACTTGTCATTTGTTGCTGTTATTCGCTCGTCACTAAACTCACCATTATACTTACAGTTGACGGTGTAGTATCACGTGAGGAATATACTACGTATACCACTCACCAGAACCCCGCCATGTTTGTTCTCACGCATGCGCTGTACGACATCTACGACAGTGACAAGAACGGAGTTCTGACAGAGTATGATTACGAGCAGCTGTTCAAGTTGTGGGATGGAAACGGTGGGTGAAACTTATTCCTTTATCGTATTCAACTATAATCTTTGGATTTGAATAATGGGATTCTGATACCGTTAAAGGATATGATCTACGGTAAAGGTATGGCTACGGTATAATGCCCCTTGCTAGGTCCAGCCTGCCCTCCTGTCAAATTAAAGAAGAAACAGCGCACAGCTTGCTGCGCGAACCAACAGTGGAACCAGTTTTGTGTACGTTTAGCTGTGTAATGAAGGCTATCATTAACTTATTGATTGATGACGTCATAGACTGTCATTTTAACCGAGCATTATCCGCCCTTTAATACTGACTGTGGAACACACGTTCTATATACATGCACATAGTTTCAGAATAAATTGTATATTGGGTGTAATTTGTAAGACGTCCACACATATCCAATTTAAAGTGACATACGGTGTAATGCTGTTGATTCGAACAGTATTCTCCACAGTCAAATCCAGATAGACAAAAGACAAGGTATGTAATTCACGATGTGTGAAGTCCAAAACGTGCAGGTGTTCAAATCGGTTCATTTTCTATGACCTGACTGATCATCATCCAACATGGCCTCCAGATATTTTCCATTTTAGCTATGATAAAAATGATAGAAGAATGTCCCATCAATGTTTACACCTATCATAAAAATGTACTCAGGAATTTATCTCCAGCAACATCCCTGGTAATAATAAAAAAACAGACCGCAAGAGTTACCCATAACATCAAAATTAGACATTTCCAGAGTGCAAAAAGAGCCCTTATCACAAATGGTCGTTTCCTTATTAATAGATCATAGACCAGAGTAATGTTCAAATGTATATGACACTAGCGTTCGGACCGTCTCCGTGGTGTAGTGCGTCGAGCGTCTACCTCTACAGCGGAAGATCATACCAGACAACATTTAAAAGACGGTACATGTTGTTTCCCTGCCTGGGGCTCGTCATTAAGGGGCTAAAACAAGGACAGGTCGGCTTGGAATCATACTGTGTCTGTGTGGAGTATTCATGTTAAACTACGGCATAGTATCTCAGTGGGATAGCACTATAAATCGGCATCAGTCCGGACTAGTACAAGCATCAGTCCGGACTAGTACTAGCAGACAGACAGACAGACAGACACACGCACACACGCACACACGCACGCACGCACGCACGCACGCGCACACACACACAGAGAGAAACACACTCACATACATACGCACACACACACTTACACACATACACACAGGCACTTACACATACAGACACACGCACACACACACCCTAACACACTAACACACGGACACAAACACATTTACACACACAGACACATTTAACACACACTTACACACACATACAAACACACGGACACAAACACATTTACACACACAGATACACTTAACACACACACTCACACATACACACAGGCTGGAACATACACATACACACACACACTTACACACATACTTACATACTTACACTAACAATCACATACGCACGCGCACACATTTACACACGCACACTTACACATATACACACATATATTTACACACATCCGCGCGCACGCACACACATACGTACACACATACACTTACACACATACACTTACCCACACACTTACCCACATACACACACACTAAACACACAGACGTAAACACATACACACGCGCTTCCACACATACACACACACTTTCACACTTTCACACACACTTAGTTACACACACTTAGTTACACACACTTAGTTACACACACACACACACACACACACACACACACACACACACACACACACACACACACACACACACACACACACACACACACACACACACACACACACACACACACACACACACACACTCGCAATACATCGCTTCATGCTCTGCATTAAGCCACCTCCATTCACCTCACTGGTGTTCGATTGTTTCAGAAAATGGAATTGTGAGCGAGTTGGAGTTTGTTCACTGGTGGACAGTTGTAAGTAGTAATTCGTTCTTTTGGAACATTTTCAGTGGATAAAACCCAAACACCATGCACACTCGAAAATATAGTTGTCCTTAGTTAAGCGGGAGAAAATATTAATTCTAAATTCGGTGTCGAGGCCATAAAATTCCATCATTAACAATATTTTAGAGTTAATGAGGCTTCAAGGTAGCGCCAAGAGATATTTTTAGCATTAGCTTTAGTGCTAAAGTTTGTACAATTTTGATTCTGAGTGAGTTGGGGTTTACGCCGCTTTGAACCTTATTCCAGTTATTTCACGGTGTGTCAGCTTAATGTGAGAGGAAAGCCCGACGTGATGCAGGTCTTAGACGTTTACCATTTTGGTGAAACCCACGAGCACTGGTATGGTGCTGACAAACCTAGAACCAAGATCGGCGCGAACTGGATTTCGAACCAATCATCATAAGTTCTGGCCTGTCATAGGGACACAACTCTGCACGGCGAATTGCGGCGCCATGGACGACTTTGTTTCTGAAACCTTAGTATCACATGTCTTTAACTCGTATTTATATTACCTGTTTTTGTATGTAATCCCTTCTGTTTTGTATGTCCGAGCAGACACTGACGTCACTTGATCCCCTTCATCACCCGGACGCCACTTTCGCTCCATCCCCGGCCACCAAGTAGGTCACGTGACCAGAGCTGGCATCACGCAGTGTTGTCGTGATGGAAGGACAATCGTTGTAATAAAAACAATTAAACACATAAAATAGAAGTTTACTCTTTGAGACATCCATGGGCAATATCCTGCCGTGTGACCCAGTGTGTGGGTGACCTGGTGTTATGCTGCATTATTCGTCGTTCTTGTGTCCTGTCCGTTGCAAGCATTTACATGCGTGATACTCCCGGGATATACCGAATGTTGACTAAATGCTGTCTTTGTAAGCAGCCTAACTTTCCACAGCTATTCTCTGTCTGGTTTGAATCGTGGAAAGTTGTGACTGACAAACAAGACACTGACTGGTCACTGAAGGGACATCGACACCTATATAGAATGGACAACTTCGAAGTATTCCATTTCGAATGTTGGTTAAAAGACAAGGCGAGAGCGAGATAATTTGAAAATTGGTGGTTTTACTGTGAATGCATCTTTCTCCATGCCTACACGTTTAACGAATTTTTTTTATAGAATCGAACAGGTGAGATTAAACATCACGTTTCGCATTCTCACTACTGAGCGAAATATACAATTATTTGACAATGCGAGATATTTTATATGTGTCAAACTGTCTCTGTGAACGTACAGTTTTATTTTTTAGACACAAGATTGCCGATGGTGGCCGAATATCGCGTTCTCTTGAACGGGCACTTATACTTTTTACTCTAGTACGAACAGGTCGAAATTGCGAAAAAGCTCAAAACGTGGGTCGATGCTCATGATGTCAATCACTGGATTGTCTGGCCTAGACTCGATTATTTACAGACCGCCGTCATATAGCTGCATAATTGTTGAGAGCGGCGTTAAACAACAAATAAACAAACAAAAGCAATACATTGCTTTCCGAATGATATGTCAGCAGTTTTGTATTAATACTGCTCCCCTCTTGTCCACAAAAGTCCTGATTTCCTCTTACCAGCTAATGTGCGTGCGTGGGTGCGTGGGTGCGTGGGTGCGTGGGTGCGTGGGTGGGTGCGTGCGTGCGTGCGTGTATTCTGCACTGCACAATCTTTATTTACAAATGTACTATATTTCGTACGTACGCCCGCAATCCCGCACGCCCACATGCCCGCACGCGCTCACGCACACACACATGGATTTTGGAGCGTTCCGTAAATAGTGTTATATATATGGTATGTATGTATGTATGTATGATGTATGTATATATGTATGTATGTATGTATGTATGTATGTATGTATGTATGTATGTATGTATGTATGTATGTATGTATGTATGTATGTATGTAATGGTGTGACTGACAAAGAAGACACTGACTGGTGAGTTAGTGAGTAGGCTGAATGAGTTTATTAGGTGGGTGGGTGAGTTTATTTGGTGACATAGTGTGTAGGCTGATTGAGTTTATTGGGTGGGTGAGTGAGAGAGTCGGGTGGTTGAGTCTATTTGGGGGTAGAAGGGATGGGTGAATTTAGGGGGTTAGTGAGAGGAATGGGTGAGTTTATTGGATGGGTGTTTTTATTGAGTGTATTATATGTGAATTCGACAACTTTTATGACAGTTTCTAAACATTTGCGTCATATTGGAATTGTTATAATGTTTTCCAGAACTATCGACCTGAGGCCCTATGACATCACTGCCCGGAATCCCTTCACTGCCAGTGACGTTGATAAGGACCATGAATTGTCCCATTCTGAACTCGTCCTGTCCTTCAGTGGCTACGACTCTAACTGTACGTGTGTGTGTGTGCGTGCGTGCGTGCGTGCGTGCGTGCGTGCGTGCGTGTTTTGATGACATTGATAGTTTTCTCATTTTATAGAATTGACAAATTCCAGGGGGCCTAAATACCTGAATAATATTGGTTTGTTTGTTGTTAAACGTCGCACTCAGCAATATTCTAGCTTTGTTACGGCGATCTGTTAACAATCTAGTGACTGGCATCATGCACATCAGTCCACGCAATCAACCAAGTCACCACGTCTGACCACCTGATCCATTTAGTCGCCCTTACGACCAGCATAAGTTGTTCGTGGCCTTTGTATCCTTACCCGGAATCCCCAGGGGATGCTTGTATAATACCACTTCCTCATTGGAAAGCAATGCTGACCAGCTCGGGTAAACTTGTCATTTGTTGCTGTTATTCGCTCGTCACTAAACTCACCATTATACTTACAGTTGACGGTGTAGTATCACGTGAGGAATACACTACGTATACCACTCACCAGAACCCCGCCATGTTTGTTCTCACGCATGCGCTGTACGACATCTACGACAGTGACAAGAACGGAGTTCTGACAGAGTATGATTACGAGCAGCTGTTCAAGTTGTGGGATGGAAACGGTAGGTTAAACTTATTCCTTTATCGTATTTAACTATAATCTTTGGATTTGAATAATGGGATTCTGATACCGTTAAAGGATATGATCTACGGTAAAGGTATGGCTACGGTATAATGCCCCTTGCTAGGTCCAGCCTGCCCTCCTGTCAAATTAAAGAAGAAACAGCGCACAGCTTGCTGCGCGAACCAACAGTGGAACCAGTTTTGTGTACGTTTAGCTGTGTAACAAAGGCTATCATTAACTTATTGATTGATGACGTCATAGACTGTCATTTTAACCGAGCATTATCCGCCCTTTAATACTGACTGTGGAACACACGTTCTATATACATGCACATAGTTTCAGAATAAATTGTATATTGGGTGTAATTTGTAAGACGTCCACACATATCCAATTTAAAGTGACATACGGTGTAATGCTGTTGATTCGAACAGTATTCTCCACAGTCAAATCCAGATAGACAAAAGACAAGGTGTGTAATTCACGATGTGTGAAGTCCAAAACGTGCAGGTGTTCAAATCGGTTCATTTTCTATGACCTGACTGATTATCATCCAACATGGCCTCCAGATATTTTCCATTTTAGCTATGATAAAAATGATAGAAGAATGTCCCATCAAAGTTTACACCTATCATAAAAATGTACTCAGGAATTTATCTCCAGCAACATCCCTGGTAATAATGAAAAACAGACTGCAAGAGTTACCCATAACATCAAAATTAGACATTTCCAGAGTGCAAAAAGAGCCCTTATCACAAATGGTCGTTTCCTTATTAATAGATCATAGACCAGAGTAATGTTCAAATGTATATGACACTAGCGTTCGGACCGTCTCCGTGGTGTAGTGCGTCGAGCGTCTATCTCTACAGCGGAAGATCATACCAGACAACATTTAAAAGACGGTACATGTTGTTTCCCTGCCTGGGGCTCGTCATTAAGGGGCTAAAACAAGGACAGGTCGGCTTGAAATCATACTGTGTCTGTGTGGAGTATTCATGTTAAACTACGGCATAGTATCTCAGTGGGATAGCACTATAAATCGGCATCAGTCCGGACTAGTACAAGCATCAGTCCGGACTAGTACAAGCAGACAGACACACACACACACACACGCACTTACTCATACACACTAACACTAACACTAACACTAACACACGGACACAAACACATTTACACACACAGACACACTTAACACACACACTCACACATACACACAGGCTGGAACATACACATACACACACACTTACACACATACTTACATACTTACACACACAATCACATACGCACGCGCACACATTTACACACGCACACTTACACATATACACACATATATTTACACACATCCGCGCGCGCACACACACACATACGTACACACATACACTTACACACACACTTACCCACATACACACACACACTTACACACACACACGTAAACACATACACACGCGCTTCCACACATACACACACACTTTCACACACACACACACACACACACTTACAGCTACACAAAGTTACCCACACACAGTTACCCACACATAATTACACACACACAGACACAGACACAGACACACACACAGACACACAGACACACACACACACACACACACACACACACACACACACACACACACACACACACACACACACACACACACACACACACACACACACACACAAAGACGTCGCTATATGCTCTGCATTAAGCCACCTCCATTCACCTCACTGGTGTTCGATTGTTTCAGAAAATGGAATTGTGAGCGAGTTGGAGTTTGTTCACTGGTGGACAGTTGTAAGTAGTAATTCGTTCTTTTGGAACATTTTCAATGGATAAAACCCAAACACCATGCACACTCGAAAATATAGTTATCCTTAGTTAAGCGGGAGAAAATATTAATTCCGATTGCGGTGTCGAGGCCATAACAAGACCATGAACAATATTTTAGAGTTAATGAGGCTTCAAGGTAGCGCCAAGAGATATTTTTAGCATAAGCTTTAGTGCTAAATTTTGTACAATTTTGATTCTGAGTGAGTTGGGGTTTACGCCGCTTTGAACCTTATTCCAGATTTTTCGCGGCGTGTCAGCTTAATGTGAGAGGAAAGCCCGACGTGATGCAGGTCTTAGACGTTTACCATTTTGGTGAAACCCACGAGCACTGGTATGGTGCTGACAAACCTAGAACCAAGATCGGAGCGAACTGGATTTCGAACCCACCATCATAAGTTCTGGCCTGTCAAAGGGACACAACTCTGCACGGCGAATTGCGGCGCCATGACGACTTTGTTTCTGAAACCTTAGTATCACATGTCTTTAACTCGTATTTATATTACCTGTTTTTGTATGTAATCCCTTCTGTTTTGTATGTCCGAGCAGACACTGACGTCACTTGATCCCCTTCATCACCCGGACGCCACTTTCGCTCCATCCCCGGCCACCAAGTAGGTCCACCAAGTGACCAGAGCTGGCAACACGCAGTGTTGTTGTGATGGAAGGACAATCGTTGTAATAAAAACAATTAAACACATAAAAAAGAAGTTTACTCTTTGAGACATCCATGGGCAATATCCTGCCGTGTGACCCAGTGTGTGGGTGACCTGGTGTTATGCTGCATTATTCGTCGTTCTTGTGTCCTGTCCGTTGCAAGCATTTACATGCGTGATACTCCCGGGATATACCGAATGTTGACTAAATGCTGTCTTTGTAAGCAGCCTAACTTTCCACAGCTATTCTCTGTCTGGTTTGAATTGTGGAAAGTTGTGACTGACAAACAAGACACTGACTGGTCACTGAAGGGACATCGACACCTATATAGAATGGACAACTTCGAAGTATTCCATTTCGAATGTTGGTTAAAAGACAAAGCGAGAGCGAGATAATTTGAAAATTGGTGGTTTTACTGTGAATGCATCTTTCCCCATGCCTACACGTTTAACGAATTTTGTTTTATAGAATCGAACAGGTGAGATTAAACATCACGTCTCTCATTCTCACTACTGAGCGAAATATACAATTATTTGACAATGCAAGATATTTTATGTGTCTCAAACTGTCTCTGTGAACGTACTAAAGACACAAGATTGCCGAATGGTGGCCGAATATCGCGTTCTCTTTAACGGGCACTTATACTTTTTACTCTAGTACCAACAGGTCGAAATTGCGAAATGTCCCATGTATGTATATATTGTCATGTATGTCCCATGTATGTATATATTGTCACGTATGTCCCATGTATGTTTTTATCTCATGTATGTCCCATGTTTGTATATATTGTCATGTATGTCCCATGTATGTATATATTGTCATGTATGTCCCATATATTTATATATATTATAACCCCTACACATATGAATCATAGAATAGAGTGACAATAATTGTGAGCATGGGTACATGTAATGGAATGGCAAAGACGTTCAGTTTAGTTCCTGTCGCTCTGGTTATTATGTAAGATAAGACACATTGACGACCTTTCTTCTTATCAATCGGCCTATCTGAGGAGATGTCTAGTATATAAATACTCGTGACTGAAGTATCACTCCTTGCGGAAAACCATCTGGCCAAGGTGAGTACATTGTTTTGAAAGGCAATTCACTGGATTAGAATTGTAATTCCATAAAAAGAAATGAACATCGAATGGCCAAAACCGGAACTAAAATTGAACTTTACTGTAAAATATAAAATAGTTTAACACAACGATTATGGAATATACATGAAAATGGAAAAAAGTCACGAGGAAGTATATCGTTCACACACATCACTTTTATTAACACCAAGAAAAGGAAATGAAACGGTAAGGAAGTGACCTCAAGCAATTATTTTTCAGTTTTAATATTATTTATTTTCCAGCGTGATCTTGCACTATGAACTGTCTGACTGTTATCTGTTTGTTCGTGGGAGCCAGTTTGTCCTCGGCGCAGTAAGTGAAAAGGGTTTTTCCTTCTTTATTGGGTTGATGATTTTTGCCTAAATGTCAGGTGGGTAGAACGAACAAAATAATATTAAAAAATTCCTTTTCAAATAAAGAGTGCCGGACAGAATAAAGTATACACTCAGGTTTGATGGTGGCTAAAACTGAAACTAACAGAAATGTTTATTCGATGGTGGTGTATTTAATACGGGTATCATAGGCGATATTACACCCACCATGGCAATGAGTTTCTCATAACAGATAAGTCTAGTAATGTTTTCATAACGATTGTTCATGTTTTGCTTGAATGCAATTTTTATGTGCATTCTTTCTTTTGCTCGGCAGATTATGTTGATAAGTTAGTTATAATTGTTGTGTTTTGAAGTTTTTAAGGTACCAATCATGTAAATCAGATCTAAGTTCTCAGACTACGCTTGAAAAATATGTTGACACAGTTCGCGATAAAAATTTTGAAGACCGAGCAAACGAACATTCCGGAATGTCTAATATAGTAGTTGAGATTGTATGGCAGTGCTTCCCATGTACTGTGCAACGCCTCCTCCGTTCAAATGTCTGTCCCACGGAAGCGAGAGATGATAATTTTGACGGAATCATTCGTACGTGCAGTAACTGTAGTTCGGAATACCCCGTGTTAACGTTTTCGAGGTTGCATGATTTGAAAACACATTCCGACTGTCACTTTCATGATCTGGTAAGAGACGCTTTGATTGGTTGGATGAAAGGTCGTTCTGACGTGATCCGTAACGGGATGTCCTCAGATATTTGTTTAGCGATAGAGAGTACTAAGATCTGACTTTAATGAGATTGAAACAGTTTGCGATTGGCAGGGAAGTTACCTTAGTACATAGTTTACTTACCTTAACCCATTTCTAAAATTAATGATATTAGTGAGCTTTATCGAGTGAGTGAGGGGGATGGATGACTTGACTGGGTGGGAGGGTGAGTTTATTGGGTGAGTTAGTGTGTAGGTTGAGTTTATTGGGTGGGTGGGTGAGTTTATTTGGTGACATAGTGTGTAGGCTGATTGAGTTTATTGGGTGGGTGGGTGAGTCTATTTGGGGGTGGATGGGATGGGTGAATTTAGGGGATTAGTGAGAGGAATGGGTGTGTTTATTGGGTGGGTGTTTTTATTGAGGGCATTATATGTAAATTCCGATAACTTTCATGACAGTTTCTAAACATTTGCGTCATATTGGAATTGTTATAATATTTTCCAGAACTATCGACCTGAGGCCCTATGACATCACTGCCCAGAATCTCTTCACTGCCAATGACCTTGATAAGGACCAGGAAATGTCCCATTTGGAACTCGTCCTGTCCTTCAATGGCTTCGACTCTAACTGTACGTGTGTGTGTGTGTGTGTGTGATTGTGTGCGTGTGTGTGTGTTTTGATGACTTTGATAGTTTCCTCATTTTATAGAATTGACAAATTCAAGGAGGGGCTAAATACCTGAACAATATTTGTTTGTTTGTTGTTAAATGTCGCACTCAGCAATAATCCAGCTATGTGACGGGACTCTGTAAACAATCTAGTGTCTGGCATCAAGCACATCAGTCCACGCAATCAACCAAGTCACCACGTCTGACCACCTGATCCATTTTATAGCCCTTTACGACCAGCATAAGTTGTTCGGGGCCTATGTATCCTTACCCGGAATGCCCAGGGGATGCTTGTATGATACCACTTCCTCAATGGAAAGCAATGCTGACCAGCTCGTGTAAACTTGTCATTTGTTGCTGTTATTCGCTCGCCTCTAAACTCACCATTTTATACTTACAGTTGACGGTGTAGTATCGCGTGAGGAATATACTACGTATATCACTCACCAGAACCCCGCCATGTTTGTTCTCACGCATGCGCTGTACGACATCTACGACAGTGACAAGAACGGAGTTCTGACAGAGTATGATTACGAGCAGCTGTTCAAGTTGTGGGATGCAAACGGTGGGTGAAACTTATTCCTTTATCGTATTTAACTATAATCTTTGGATTTGAATAATGGGATTCTGTTACCGTTAAAGGCTATGATCTACGGTAAAATGCCCCTTGCTAGGTCCAGCCTGCCCTTCTGTCAAATTATAGAAGTAACATTAACTGATTGATTGATGACGTCGAGCGTCTACCTTTACTGCGGAAGGTCGGTGGTTCGATCCCCGGCCGTGTTATACCAAACGACGTTAAGAAGACGGTACTTGTTGTTTCCCCGCATAGGGCTTGTCTTTAAGGGGCTAAAAAAAGAACAGGCCGGCTTGGAGTCAGTATACTGTGTCTGTGTGGGGTATTCACGTCGCTATATTATCTGTAACGCAACCTTTAGACTCCATTCACTTCACTGGTGTTCGATTATTTCAGAAAATGGAATTGTGAGCGAGTTGGAGTTTGTTCACTGGTGGACAGTTGTAAGTAGTGATTCGTTCTATTGGAACATTTTCAGTGGATAAAACCCAAACACCATGCACACTCGAAAATATAGTTATCCTTAGTTAAGCGGGTAAAATAATAATTCTGATTGCGGTGTCAAGGCTATAAAATTCCATTATAAACAATATTATAGAGTTAATGAGGCTTCAAGGTAGGCGACAAAGAGATATTTTTAGCATAAGCTTTAGTGCTAAATTTTGTACAATTTTGATTCTGAGTGAGTTGGGGTTTACGCCACTTTGAACCTTATTCCAGTTTTTTCGCGCCGTAACAGCTTAATGTGAGAGGAAAGCCCGACGTGATGCAGGTCTTAGACGTTTACCACTTTGGTGAAACCCACGAGCACTGGTATGGTGCTGACAAACCTAGAACCAAGATCGGAGCGAATTGGATTTCGAACACATCATCATATGTTTCTGGCCTGTCAAAGGGACGCAACTCTGCACGGCGAATTGCAGCGTCATGGACGACTTTGTTGTTGCCTTTGTTTCTGAAAACTCATGTGTCACATGTCTTAAACTTGTTTTTATACAATCTCATTAAAATCAGATCTTAGTTCTCGCTATCGTTAAACAAAGATCTGAGGACATCACATTACGGGTCACGTCAAAACAACCTTTCATCCAACCAATCAGAGCGTCGCTTACCAGATCATGAAATTGACGACGTAAGGTGTTTTCTAATCATGCAGCCTCGAAATATTTAACTGAGGGTAATCCGAACGACAGTTACGGGTTTTATGATTATATCCATACAATCAAGCCCATCTATAAGCCATTCCAGAATGTTCTTTTTGTCAGTTCTAAATTTTCTAATCAAGAATACGTCAAAATATGTTTCGAAGCGCAGTTGCCAGTTTGAAACTTGTGTCGTAAAGCTCGAGAAAGCTGCCTTCTGATTGGCTAATGTCGATTTCTTGTCAGTCATTGGTCGGTTAAAGTTCGCGAAAGGTCGTTCTGACGTGAGCGGTAATGGGATGTCCTGAGATCTTTGTTTGGCGGTAGCAAAAACTAAGATCTAATTTTAATGAGATTGTTTTTTATATTACCTGTTTTTGTATGTAATCCCTTCTGTTTTGTATTTCCGAGCAGACACTGACGTCACTTGATCACCTTCATCACCCGGACGCCACTTTCGCTCCATCCCCGGCCACCAAGTAGGTCCACCAAGTGACCAGAGCTGGCAA